TCTGACACCTTAGAGATTAAACAGCTAATTGAGAAAATAATCCATGATGAATAATTAGTTATAGCCCTAGTACCGTATGTTTAAGCCTGATTCATGTTTGATTGGATTTGATCTACACAAAAGTTTGACCGTTATTCTCAGACAATAAGGGATTATCTTATCTTATCTTGTTTATCTTATCTTGTCATTAATCCCATCTGCTCTGCTGGGAGCATCAGAGCTAAAGGGATTGTGGGTACCGGGCGAAGTGATGATCTTTACGTGTGCTGCTAGAATGATGGGAGTCGAGCAACAACTCTCATCTGTCACATCAGACAGAAAGCTTGTGTTTGGCGTGGTGGCCGTCCGTTCTTGGTTGTTGGAACGGAAACAGCCTTCAAACATGCACTGTGTGTTGACCACTGGGGTTTTTTATGTTTCTGTTTCCTGGGTATGCACACATGCTGTGTGTGTGTGTGTGTGCATGCCTGCACTGCCAGGGTTGTGCTGTTTTACCATCGTTAATCAACCCACCTGATCAAGGGGAGCTGTTATCAGTAGAGCAACATGAACGCAGCAGCAGGGGGCTGAGAAAAGGCACGGTGTGTTCTTTCTTTGTCACCACTTATTTTGATACAATCCCTTCCCATTTAAAGATTTTCGCCTTTGCAAACCAAGGTTAATACTGTGAACCACTGTGATAAGATAAGGCTGTGAGTGGACACAAGACTTTGATATCATTAACCTGAATGCCCCCCCGAGACAAGTCGCACTTCCCAGAACAAGCGGCTTTGTAACAGATCTCTGTGCCCTCTGTCCCGACTGACAGGTTTACACAGGAGACACACGGGAAACCTTGTAAGCATAATTGGGCAGACTGGATTAGTGTTTACTGTGAGGGTGTATTTGTCTGCAGGATGAAGTATTAGTATGAGACCAGCGGCCAATTTTATTTGACCAGCAGTGTAAAATACAAAGATATTCAATTTATAAAGATAAAACCTGCAATTCTACACCAAGCTGGGTATTAAATAACCAAACAATCTGTTATCAAAATAACTGCAGATTAAATTTTTGTTTCAGCTTCAGGAAGTTTGCAGACTTTTCTGCTGCTTGTGTGCTTGCTTATTCTTATCTACTGGGCATAAACAGCCTATTAAATGTGCTGAAACAAGCAAGTAAACAAAGAGAGTTTCCCGTCTGGCCATTATCGGGGCATTTCTTTCCTTGTTTTGGCCAACTGGCCTGGCATTGTTCAGAGGTCTCCAGGCAAAACAGCGATTGAAGATAACACAAAGAATAGTGGACCAACTTCCAAACATGAGTAAAGAATGAAGCACCCCATCCGCTGACAACCACCCTGTAATTTTCTTTGTTTTATTCAGGTAGTTGCTTGGAATGAAAGCTAATCCGGCTTTAGTTGGACAAAAAGGTCATGAGAAGACTAGAAGCTACCAGTGAACAGCAAAAACCGATGTGTATTCACAGAGTTGAGGTTCTTCCTTCCTCTGAGCAGCTTGTTGAAACTGACCTAATGGGTATTTGGGATCTCTGCAGGCCCCAGGATGTGTATTGGAACCAGGAGTTCCCAACAAGCTGTCACCCTGACTCCGCCTCCAGATCAGCCTTCTGTTCTTTTTTTTTTCCACCCAGTCCTGCCTCCTCCTTCCTGCCCGACACAATGAGGCAGGATCTTCCTGGTTGCTATGACTTCCAGCCAGTGTCTGCCTGAAATGTGAGCAGGCTGGGCTCCTCAGTGAGAAGGTGACTGTTTAGACAGCAGAACAGGACGCAGATAGGTCCTGTTCAAAGACAAGCATCGCTGGGCTCGGCAGGACGCAGCAGCCAGACGACGCACTCCCAGACCCTATCAGCTGGAACAGGACGTTTCAAGGCCGAATGAAGTTCAGCTCAAGTGTCTTGGTGGGATACAGTGGCAGTGTCACAGTTGTCGTTCCGTTTCTTGGGCTGACTCGGCAGTGTAACTGCGGACAGCGGCAACAGTTTGGATGTAGGAGTTTCACAGTAGAGAGACGGGGGCAGCTAGAAGAAGTTGATAGAGAGCAGCAGCTGGCTCCAGAATGGGCTACAATCCATGAATCTAACTGAAGGATTAGGATGGTTTTTGTTACTTTTGACATGCCTCTGGCTTCAATGGTGAGCGCTGTTAATATTAATGTTGGTAGCTTCTATCCCTGTGTGCTTATAACGACATCTTCCTGGCTGTATTTTAAAAATATTTAAGGTGTTTGCTTTCTTTGTTAACAACTACAGTGTATACATCTTTAAGTTCATCAGACATTTCTTTGTGTGTGTGGTCTGATATGCTGAAACACCTTAATAGAAAAGCTCCGTTATCAGCTGTTGTCTGTCTTTATCACTGAATTTCTAGAGTCAGCAGCCTGCTGGTTGCTGAGTGCTGTCAGGTACCTCACATGCAAACTAAACTAAGGTTTGAGTTTGTCTAGTAGTGCTCTGTCAGTAGCACGGGGTCCAGACCTGTGTGCTTTACCAGCTGCCCCTCTTATTGCCACTAAAAACCAGGCCAGGCTTGCTCTCCCTCTCCTTTGTGCTCTAGTTTCGCTTTAAAGCCAACTTGTCGATGTGCACTTTGGTAATCATTCATAAAAGATAAGAACTAAACGTTGTAGAACCCCCCACTCAGATATAGACCACTCCTGTGTTCTTTTTACTCTAGTTACGTGTTTCCACAAAGGCCTGTGGGTGCAGAACATTTGGACTAGAGCTGTTTTAATATTAAATCACTGTTACACATACAGGTCAGACTTGTACTTTGATAAGTCTTCATCAGCAGTGTCAAATGTTTTAATACAGTCTGCTGGCTCATGCAGTTTGTCTCCATAGGTTTAAAGCTTTGAAATCTGAGTTCCTGGGTTTATCCCCCTCAGTTTCACAGATTTAATCTGACGTCCTCTCTCAAAGTTCGGTACTCCTCCCTGCCTAGCCGCCTCATTTCAGATGATGGAAGAGAGGAGTAGATAAAAAATGCTTACTTTTCAGTTATTGCCATGTGCTCAAAGCAATTACAGTCTTGAGCATAAAGCTTACCAGCAACCGTGAGTGCTCTGCACTCTCTGTGCCATAGTCAAATGAGCTACCTTCTGACTGAAAGGTACAATGTTATACATCCTTATACCTGCAGGTCTCAGGCGAGTACTGAAGGTTAATTTGGCTGGATATGAAGACTACAAGTTTGAAGACAGAAATAAAAGTCTGGGGATATGGAGCTGCAGTAGACCTCATTGGCCTGCTCTTGATCTCTGCATGAGGCTGGCACGCTGAGGCTTCATTACCCGCTTCCAGCATAACACACCAGAATCTGACGGAGCTGTTGGGGTCAAGTTGCATTGAGGCTTTGATAAGAAAGAAGAATGTTACACATAAGAGCTGATATAAATGTCTGACACGCCTAAAACCAGACCGACACTCCAGTGTCCGTGGTGCCCAACAGCGTAACCCAAAGCTGCTAGACGTTGGCTTGTTTTCATTGCACTGTGTTTATGTTCGGCGGGTTGATCAGTACAAGAATTTCATTGGAATGGCGACAGTGTCATTGTCCTGGAATGTAGGTTCCTTGTGGTTGTGTTTGAAGGGGGGGGGGGGGGGGGGGGGGGGGGGGGTGGTTCCTAACTAGGTTTGATGAGGAGGCTGACTATTAGCGGTAAAAACAACTGCTTCCTCAGATACTGAGGTGGCCCCTGCTTGTTTGCTTTTCTGCTGCTCATAAAGTGACAGAGATTGCATGAGTGAGGGTGCACAGCCAAGCCTGCTGACAGGGGAACAATGGAGGGGGAACAATGGCCAGATTCTGGCCGTCTGTTCTTATGGAACAGCCTGCTCCTTGTGATGTAATGAGCATTCACCGTGAGGAAGTCTAGGTCCTTCCCTCTCCTGTTTGTGTCTGACTGCAAGGATAGCTTCAATGATGTCATCCCTCACACAAAAAAATTCCCCCTGATTTCCTGGTTATCCTGCCCCTGTATATTTCTCTCTTTCCGTAATTGCCTCTGTCCCTCCGTCTACTGGAAAGTTTAGTATTTCCTGCTGACAACGTCTCCCTCCTTTAAGTTTCTGTTTTGTGCCCTTTCATTTTACTTTTACACTGTTAATTTTCTCTGTGTCTGCACTCTCTCTGCCTCGCAGGGTCAGGCGCGACGGAGGAAGAACATGACAGAGTTCCTTGGGGAGACGAATATTCCAACCCCGGATGCGCTGGGACAGATGGGTGGCTCAATGCCCAGTGTTGGGGCCGGGCCAGACAGATGGAAGAACCGCGCTGCCAGTCGCTTCACAGCTCCAACGCCGGAGCGGGGTCCTTCGGAAAGGTAACACTGATCAGGCAGGAGGTGATCACATGAAATACATGTGTGCAAGCAAAGTGCACTTTCTCTTGATTATAAAACTGACATTTAAAAGCCACAGGGAGCAGGGTTGTCACCCAGACATGTCACAGGGCAAGAAAAAAAAAATCAAACAGTAGCAAACACTAGTGGGAGGAAGTCAGGAGGCCTAATGAGGTCTTTTCCCTTCAGAGACTCCTGAACTTCCTCCCAGCAGCTCTGGCCTCATGAGCTCATACATTTCTATTTGAACTTAATCCTGAATTTAAGCTTAATGGAATCTGAGGAGATTTGGGGGAAATACACCTATTGTCATGGTTAACATCAAGACTGGAAACAGTGGGTAAAACAGCCTGGTAAAAAAAAAAAGGCTCACTAGTTAACATAGAGGCAAAATCCCATTTAGTCAAACCTTCCTTTTAACTTTTGTACGAGAGGTTTTCTACAATAATAATCGACTTTTATTGTAATGAGGCACACACCCTCATACACACTCTCATTGTGTTTTAGCTCCTGAGGTCACATCCTGCATAGTAACAGATGTCAGATAGAAACAGTATCTGTCAGTCATCTGTCGGCCACAGGCTCATCTGTATTCACCCCGGTCATCCCACTTAACCCCCTCAGGGCCAGAGCTCTGCCACTGGGACTGGACCGCTTGCAACAACCAAATTGTAGGGTTAAATGACTGCCAGTGCCTCCTTTCACAAAACTTTGAAAAGACAATCAAATGATGATTTGTTTCTCCTAAATCTGCTGTACTGTTTCTCACTATTAGTGAATCAGTACTTTTTTCAAGGTTTCATAATCCGTTAATTATTGGTGCATCTTCCTCTCCATGCTTTGCCCCCGTCCCCTTGTCTTCTGTTGTTTAAATGGTCTCAATGCACAGAGCTCATTTTCATAACTACATAAGGCCTGCCAGCTTGAACAAAGACCTGAATAGCAGCTACTGTTGAATCACGGAGCCAGTAAGACGAGGATTTATATGCTAATACGGAGACTCATCTTTACATACAGTCTGAGTGTAACAATTAGCTGCTAAACAACAGACACAAATGGACAAATCTCATTCTCCTGTCATGCTGCTGGCCTTGGTTAATCTAATTAGGCTTGTTTTCTAAATTATCCCAGGAGGTGGACCGTCTGGAGCAGCTTCAGAGCAAGCTCCACTCGTACACGTTGTTCGGGCTGCCCAAGGTGCCCCGGCAGCTCTCCTTCCACAAGGACTCCTGGGAGGAGGAGGAGGAGGAGGAGGTGAGCAACCTGGTCCTGGAGGACAGCTGGCAGATGCTACTGGACAACTCAGAGGTACAGTATTCACAGGCCAGCCACATGCACACACAGACATATATCTACTCATTTAAGCCTCATATAGTGGGTATACAGATGGTGAAGTGAAATCAAAAGAAAACCTGAAGAGAACAAGGTCATTAAACTACAATTAGAAGAAAAATTAAGTTGAAAGTTGAGTCTCAACCTTTGATTTCCTTCAATACTGGACAGATGAATAGTGAACCAGGGCAAATAGCAATAAACTCAACTCATCCTAAGGACAGCATGAAAAATATTAGTGGGTATGTATCTGGATATCCTCTAACTCTCTTACTGGTTCTTCTTGACAAATATGTGTATACTTCTTACATACTGCACATGTCCAGGTGATTAACCCTTTGCATGCAAAGAAAGATGATCTCTAGGAGAGCTTAGTGACGCTCAGTCGATGTTTGATTGACATCTAGAGTTCCAAACTTCTATTAATGTAAACAGGGATGTTTGGTGAATAAAATGAATTAAAGGCACGACCACTGTAACATTTCAGAGGAATCAGGGATCAGGTATTTGTTACATTTATTAATATTGTGTGTGTGTGTGTGTGTGGGTGTGTGTGTGTGTGTGTGTGTGTGTGTGTAGACATTGACAAGGCGACAGTTCCACCAGCAGGAGGCAATATGGGAGTTGCTGCACACAGAAGCGACCTACATAAAGAAACTCAGGGTTATCACTGATGTAAGTGCAAAGAGGACACACACATAAAGAGCATCTATGGATGCAAGTCTGGCTGTTACGTAAAGTTACCTGGTTTCTGGACTGTGATACGTAAGACAGTGAACTCAATAAGTGAATTGTGTTTTACAGATACAATATTAGAGTTCTGTATTCTTTTGTATCTCCCTTTCCAGCTGTTCTTGTGCGGGCTGCTGACCCTACAGGAGAGTGGCCTGCTGACAGAGGTGGAGCCTGCCAAACTGTTCAGTAACATCCAGGAGATTGTCCGCCTTCACACGTCCTTGTGGAACCAGGTCATGGTTCCGGCCCTGGAGAAGGCCAGACAGGCCCGGGCTCTGCTCGACCCCACTGACCTCCACCACGGCTTCAGGACGGTCAGTTGTGGTCAACGCTGTAAATAACTCTATATGCAGACCTCATAGGTACCACAAAAGAAGCTTATCAAGAAGCTGTGACCTTGGCTGTTGCTTCTAAATACAGATTTGCTTCCTTTTTCTTCTTTGCCAAACTATCTAGGCAAACTAGTGCTAACCTTGGTGTTTTAGAATAACATTATCATTAATGGAACCAGGTAGATATGTTATGTCCAGAGCATTAGAAGATGACTGACAGTTTTGCCAGTTAGCCTGGATACATAACAGTAAATCAGAGTGAACTTTCTATCACTTAGGAACAGCTTCCATAAAATCTTCTTTGGCGTTTTGCATCTAATTCAGTCTAGGCTACAGACCAGGCAGAGGTGAATACATTGGTCCTCGTGTTCATGTTGCAATATCACTGACGCATGCCTTTGTTTATGGGTGTGTGCTCAGTTTGGCGCCAGGTTCCAGCCCTACATCCATTACTGCATGGAGGAGGAGAGCTGTATGGAGCACATGCGCATGCTTCTCAGGGACAACGAGCTCTTTAGGACCTATATCACGGTCAGTTCTCTTCTCTCCCTCGACTTTAAGCCAAACCAGATACTGAGAGTACACCCTGTACTGATATACCCCTTCATTTTCGTCACTTTTGTGGCTCACTAAATGTTTGATTTCCTGTCTTTGTTCAGTGGGCAGAGACCCATAAGCAGTGTAACCGCCTGAAGCTGGCCGACATGTTGGCAAAGCCTCACCAGAGACTGACCAAATATCCACTCCTACTGAAGAGTGTTCTCAAGAAGACAGATGAGCCGTCTGTTCGTGACGTTGTCAGCAGCATGGTAGGGTAATAGCACAAGTTTCATTATGAAACTGAAATATGCCACTTTTTCAACTGACGATTATACAAAAATATCTTTAATAGTCTCTTGTCTATGGTCTAAACATGACTGTACTGTGTTTCTCCTCTTCAAGGTGGCCACAGTAGAGGGCTTCATCAACAGCGTGGACTCCCAGATGCAACAGCGACAGGAGCAACAGAAGCTGGCCACCATTTCTGGCCGTATAGACTCCTATGAGGCTGTAGAGGGCAGCAGTGAAGAAGTGGAGAAGGTGAGGGCACTTTAAGGGCCTTCCCAAGAAGCTGCATCTTCTGTGAAATAGTGAGCTTCAATACTTTCGGTTTTTTCCCTTTCAGATCCTCAAGGAGTACAACCGCTTCGACCTCATGGCTCCCATGAGAGGAATATCCCCGGAGGAGACTCGACAACTGCATCTAGAGGGAGCACTGAGGATGAAAGAGGGCAAAGACAGCAGGGTGAGACTGACAACTGCTTATAAACACACGATGAGCTCTTATCTTTAGCTTGCACCTGGTTTCACAGTTTGATTCCTATAAGACCACATTTCACATAAAATGGTCGACTTATAAAAAAAACTCCATATGTTGCTGTCGGTACTGAATTTAGTTTATTCCACCTACAGATGGAGGTCTACTGTTTCCTGTTCACTGACCAGCTGCTAATTACCAAGCCAGTAAAGAGACTGGAGAAAGTCAAAATCATCCGCCAGCCTCTCCTCATTCACAATGTAGTGTGTAAGGAGCTCAAAGACCCCGGTGAGTGCTGATATGAGGAGCATGGATACAGACAGTCAGAAAACAAATGTTATTCAGCTAATAACTTAATGAAACTGAGCAGGTGGAAGCCTCCACATTTGAGAGGTTATAACCAGAAAACATACCTGCTAGATTTAAGAACTGTTTGTTTCAGCTTGAGCTGTAAAATCATTTAAGATTAAACAAAAATGAATGATTAACTGAAAACCTTTTACCCTAGGCCATTCTGACCTTTTGGTTTTGTTTTGTCTCTGTAGGATCTTTCATCCTCATCTACCTCAATGAGTTCAAGAGTGCTGTGGCAGCCTACACGTTCCAAGCCAACAGCGCCACCCAGGGGCGAAGCTGGATCGATGCAATCTGCAATGTCCAGGTTGCAGAGCCAGTTTACATCTCATTAGATGCTTAGTGCATGTGAAAGGGAGACAGGATGTGAAAAGAGCGTGATTTTTTAAATAGTTTTTTTTGGGGGGGGGGGGGGGGGGTCGTCATATTTATATTTGTTTAAAATCAAAACCAGCTGTTATAATAATTTATAACTTATTTGTTTATATAGCACTGTACAACACCGAAGGGAGCGTCACAATAAAACAGAGCATGCCAAAATAAACAAACAAAAGAAAAGTTAACATTGCACAAATTTAAAACCACGATCTGTAAGAACTATCTTACACTTCTGTAGAATAAAAATGAGTCAAAATACAGAGACAGTAAGATTACGAAATATAAAATCAGGAAGGCCTGTAGGCCCTTTATGGCATCGCTGCTAAATATTAGATGCCAAAAGCCAGTCTGAATAAATGTGCCTTTAATTTAGACTTAAAAACCATTAGCTGTTGTCGTTTGAACTAATGTGGGGATGTAATTATCCTGCAGAACCAGCTCCAGAGGCTTCGTACTGCAGAGGTCCTTCGGCAGCAGAGCGCTCTGAAGAGATGTACGGAGCGTGAGGAAGAGGACGAAGATGAGAGCAGCAACTCCACTACAAGTTCCCCATGCCTCAGACACAAAGACCAGCAAAACTCGAGGTATTACAATATTAAGGCTGTACCCGACTAAGGATTTTGTCTGTCGACTGTCATTCAGCTCTTCAGTTTGACTATACGTCATTTTCCTTTTTAAAAAAAAAACATATGTAGCCCAGATTGTCAGAAAATCAACTGGCATGAATTTCAGTGATGATTTTGACCACGTTAACATCGGTAAATGCAAAAGAGTGACATGTTTTATAGCTAAGTTTACCAACAAGTTTAATCTTCTCCCGTCAGTTAACCACAGCGTATGTTGCTATAGTGCGCTTGATGTGCACCAGCTCGCACTGCCAACGATTCCTCTAATTTATAATTCCTCATTGAAATGTTTTCCCCACACAATTTTGTTGGCTTCCTAATTCTGTTCAGACGGCTGCATGTGGCAGAAACGGGCAGCAAACGGCCGCATGTGGCAGAAACGGGCAGCAAACGGCCGCATGTGGCAGAAACGGGCAGCAAACGGCCGCATGGGGAAAAAACATTCATTAGTCAAAACCAGCCACATCGTCACGATGTAAAAGTAGACCATGATGTTTGAAAAGACGTCTAATAAAATAGAAATCTCACCTTTTGGGGATCATCCTGCTGGGTTTTGTTGTCCCGTTCTCCTCTTTCTGCTAAATAGATCTGACCTGAACCGTGTGTCAGATAGTGGGTAGGCTAACTGCTTCCCCCTGCTTCCAGTTTTTAAAATAAGCTAAACAACTACTGACTCCATCTTAAAATTGGATGGACAGATATGATGCTGTTGTTGTTAACCCTAACCATCAAGTTAACTAACCAACCTCTCCTTTCAGCCAATCAGATGGTTCCACCGAGACCCTGTCAGTTATGGACATTGATGAACCAGGTGAACACCAAGAGCCTCCAGCCCCCATAATGAACTCTGAGGAGACCATCCAGGAAGACTTGAACTCTCTTGTGGGCCCCCTAGCCGACAGGTCTGAGCTCCAGCAGGCTCAGTCCACGAACCCCGACACGGTCCTCTCCAGTATTTACTCTGAGCCTGACAGCGACGAGCTCGACCCCCAGTGTCGCTCTCTCTCCATGGACAGTGCCTATGGTACCCTCTCTCCTGAATCCCTCCGCAGAGAACTTCAGTCACAGCCTGGCCAGAGTGAAGCCGAGGAGACTGAGGAGGAAGAGAGAGATCAGGACCAGGGCCAGGAGGTGGAGCAGGAAGAGGCAGAAGCAGAGGAAGAAGAAGATGAGCAGGAGGAAGAAGAAGAAGAAGAAGAGGATGAGGAGGGGGAGGAAGAGGAAGAGAATGCCTCATTGGGGTCCCAGCTGTCAGTAGTCCAGTCCTGTAAGCCCCGCCGGCGGCCTCATGTTCAGCCACGACTCCACTGCCTCGAGAAGCTGTCCACTCTGACCTTGTCCCGCTCTGAGGACAATCTCCTGCAGCACTTCCACGGTAAACCCCCCCTGTCCCATACACACTCACTCAACTCAGAGGACCAGGACCAGTCACAGTGTAGGGACATGGACACGTCATCACTGACACACAGTAAGAGCCTGTCAGAGCTGGGCCTAAACTGCATGGAGCAGCTTTCCAGTGACCTCGGCCAGTCTGATGAGTGCTTGAGTATGAGCATGCCGTCTGACAAACTCTGTGCCAGCCTGAGGATGGCAGAGGCCAGGCATGAGCACAGGGCTGCTGCAAGACAGTGCGAGTCCCCGAGCAACAGCTCAGATGGGGAAACGGTTCCTACTGCCTGTGTAGAAAACGAGTCAACGGCCACTGGTGATTCAGGGGACGTGATGCCCCCAAAAAAGAAATCTCCAGCCCAGAAACACAAGAAGCTGACACTAGCTCAGCTGTATAGAATACGCACCACTCTGGTCCTCAACTCCACACTCACTGCATCGTAAGTCGTTACTTCTGAAATACCAATTTATGGATTTAGCACACTTAAAGGAGCAATATGACAATTTAAGAATAGATTTATTTGAGTTAGAAGAGAAGATCGATACCACTCCCATATCTGTGCAAGTAAATACGAGGCTGTAACTGCTAGAGTTGTGGCGGTATACCGTGGTATGAAATTTGAAATTAAAATCGGGAGCACAGGATTACTCTGGACATTCCTAAAAACAAAAACCTTTGAGAACAATATCCCTCCGTGTCTGCGCAGATTAAAGTCTTATTAATAACTTTAATGATGAAACGTGAGTGTATAAATGTTGTGCTATTGAAAAAACCTTCCACATTATCTGTTCGTTCACTAACCTGTGACTTAGAAAAGGACTCGCGCTGATCCCGATGTGACTAGAGAAACACACACAGACTTGACTGGCTCACATAACTGTGTGTATATGTGCATAAGTGAAGTCTGGCTGAGCCTACAACAAACTTGACAACTATTTTGATAATCGTTCAGAGCATTGTGATGGCATGTCACACTACTGTCATAAGTTTTACATCAAATAATGGAGAAAATAATCGGCAGATTAAGCCTTAATGAAAATAATCTGTAGATACAAACTAGTTCAACAGAGCTCCACCTCAACCAAGCACAACAGTGAAATCCTGCTTTTGCATCATTGCATGGGTGACAGGCTGTTAACGTAATGATTATATAAGAGGACATACAGTAACATTTTCAGCATTGAGTAGCCTACTTTTACTTTAAAGTAATACCTAACACTTTTAATGCAGTACTTTTACTCAAGTCAAGGATGTGAATGCTTCCTTTACTACTGGTGCTAAGATGCAAACTAACATACGTAGCCTATATGCTTTTATTGTTTAGGGTCAATCTCATGCTGCAGTCCAGCTCAATCAACTGACACAGTAACCTGTAATAATAAACATGCTCTGTTTTGATTCCCTTCAGGTTCGTTGTAGCTGATAGTAACAGTGTAATACAATATAGAGTAAAACCATAATAGCCACTAGCTGGTTAATTTGGCTTTGCACAAAGGCTGGAAACCAGGAGAAACAGCTAGCTGGGATCTATAAAGCACTTTAATTGATGTCTCATTTGTTTAAATCTAAATCCACTGGACGTAACTGTGCCTGACCAAAAGATAATTCACCGTATAACCCTCCAGATTAAATAAAGATACATTATGTTAGCTAGTGATCTTTAGAAGTGTTGGCAAAGCCAGGTTAGCTTTTTTAGCCTATTTCCAGTCTTTGTGCTAAGCTAACCAGCTGTAGTTTCATAGTGTACAGACATGAGTCGTATCAATCAGTTTCTCATATTTTATTGAAGTTATATAAAATTAGGTTCTAGATTTTGAATTTTTGACTTGTTTGTGTAATAATGTTTGTTTTTTCCCCACCCCAGGGAGGTATAACCGCTCTAACAGCTGACTAAGGGCATGTGGACATTAGGAGGAACAACACTTGTTTTGCATGGATAGACTGAATTTCACAAGACACAAATGCACTCTCGCTCTTCCTGCCCTCTCCCTTCCTGTTGCGGTTGGACAGTAGCAGCATCTTTACATTCGGGCAATAATAGTTTATTTTGCTAATGCATTGGTTTCTGAATTTTTCGGGTGGAACGGAGAGGCAGAGAGACTAACTGCTTGCACTTTGCAATGGAAGTAGCATTATGGGGGCTGGAACCTTAATGTGGATTTGGGGGGTTGCAGGGCATGGACATGCTGCCCTTGCAGAAAGAGGAGACATCCAGACAGAGGTCTTCAAATCTTCCCCCCTGCACTCTTCTCTGAAGAGGAGGTGGAACTGAATCCTACAACTTCTCCATCATAAAAAGGGACACCAAGTCTTGAAATGCTCTCTACGTGTGGTTAAATAAACCAAAACAGCACCTGAGACATACACTACCCCTGATTTGCTTCAACAAAAAGAAAAGAAAATTGCACAGTTATCTTTAAGTAGAAGAATCACTAAGGAGTGACTTTACATTTACAGTGACAGTGAATTTGAATTTGTGTACTGTTTGTGTACAGATGTGTGTGCATGTTTGGGTGAATGTGGATGAATGTCTGTCTGAATGAAACGCACTCCTTAAGTCTTGACTGAACCAAAACAGATTCCTCCGAATACGCTAGCACACCCAAAGATTGAAGACATGAGTAGCTGGTAGATTCCAAACATACACACAAAAAAGAAAAACAGAAGTGTAGCCAAAGAGCGAGCAGCCCAATGCAGCCAGTCATGAAACAGCTGCATTACCACAGAGACAGACTTTCCCTCCTTACCGTTAATCTTTTGGATGAACTAATGCCATTTGATATGCTGAACTAATAATGGATTTCCTAAAACAATGACTGAATATGGGTGACTAACCCTGTTTTCAGTACACTCACCCTTGAGGCCTAAATGTATTAATCCCACATGCACAGGTGCACAGACAAGTACATGTCACAGCTAAAACAACAACAAAAGTCTACACTTGAGTAATGCCTGTGCTGGAGTACCTTTCTCTCAGATACTTCATTTTGTGTTTCATCACGATGTTAACATTAACGAGAGACGGAAAAGGTTTGGGTTGGATATTCTGTAGTGAGCGAGTCTGCAGAGCATGATTTACGATACTTATCTGTCACACTGATGTTCAGCTTTTCAGACTGCTGATTTAAAACCTTAATTCAAATTAAGTCCACACCACACTAGTCAACTGTTTACTTCTAGATTTTTTTTGTTTGTTTATGTGTAATATTTATTATGCCTGCTAAGTTTTATGTATAAAATGTTTATATTGTTTGCCTCCATGTTTTGTACAATGTTTTGTTGACGTAGTCTTAATTTTTTCTTGCCAAGCATGAATGTGCTTAAAACCAAAATCTTGTGTTTTGTCATTCAGGAGTGACTTTAAAGTGACTTACTAAATAAAAATGCTTTACAATCCCTGTTTTAATGGTTTAATCCACTGTAATGACGTGAACTGAGGAGGAAAGCTGAATCTGAATCACGTTAAAGCAACATGAACTGGTTGTGCTCCTCCCAGACAGCAGGTGGCGAACTAGTGTTTAGGGAGGTGAAGAAGAATTACACCAGAGGTCACGACCCTGTGGATGTAATTCACTGCACCATCTTTTTTTTTTTTTTGTATGTTGATGCACTGGGTCCAATCAGCAACGCAGGCCAAGCTACACTAGAGAAAAGCAGTGGCAGAAGAAGTGCACATCATAAAACAGGTCCTGCATTTGTAATTCCACCTAAGTACAGGTGTTTTATTAATTTATTAGCACCTAAATAATGCAAGTATCAAATGTAAAGGTACTTACTGGGTGGCATAATTACATCTGTGTTATTATGACTGATGCATTTTAGTGTTTGAGCTTAAAATGGTGCCAATTAATACTTTTACATACAGTAGTTTATACACTTATAATTCAGTCTATATCTTGAACAGAAGCAGTTGGGTCTAGTAAGTAATAAAACAGAAAAGAAATTGTCAATGATTTGTGTATTTAAGCAAAAAAAATGTTTTCTAGATCAAGCTTCTAAAATATGAGAATACCTCATTCATCTTTCAAAGCGCAGTTTGAGGGAAGTGAAATAGGAGAAATACACAAGGACTAACTGCACTGGCCAATCTGAAGCTAGCAAATAGTATGAAAGGCTACAAATGAACATTATGTCAACAACTGCTTAAGTGCAAGTGCATTTATCAAGCTATCCATATGGTAAACTGATCATTTCCTGTGCTGCAGGTGTCTAATGGCCTCTGAAAATATTTTACTGTTTTACATCCAGGCACAGCATCAAAAGATTTTGGACTGGTAGACGGACGACGTCACACCAGGCAGTGGGAAATTATGATTTTCAGCTATTTTCCAAAATTTTATAGACCAAACAATTAAGGTGAAAGATGAAGAGGTGAAACGTCTTCGACCTAAAAACCTAGTCCAGTTGATTTTCTTTCAGCTTACTATGACCTGGATGACTGAGAATGTGCACGGACATGACACTTAGCACTGATGCATTTAACAAGCCACGATACACTAACGTTGTGAAACAAGATGTGAAGTTCAAGCTGTTATAAAGAAATGTGAAGAATCCAGAGAGAAGGACAAAATAAAAAGGGAAGAGCAAGAAAACAAAGTCTGATGAGAAGTTTCTCAGAGTTTTTTCTTCAAGAGAAAAACAAATCCAGCAAGGACCTGGCTCAGGACGCCAAGATGATGCTTTCACAGTCCGAAGCACTGCAGCTTGATCAGGAACAAGCTTTATCATTACAACCTTGCTAAAACAGCTAAACTAATGGTGCCTTAAAACTTTTGCACAGTATTGAATATGTACATTCTCTATGTTTACTTATGTGATGTGAACTTCTCTTATGAAGACGTATTGATTATTACAGCTCTGTTTTACTAGATTGTATTTAAATGGAGGCTGGAGGAGTTATTGGTATTGAACAATACATTAATAAATCCTGTATATCTCCTTACAACCACAGTGCGGTGTGTTAGAAACCATTCATTTAAACATTTGATAATACTTATACCGTTAAATAAGGTGTGTTGAAGTAATTACCAAAGCGCTGTTTCAAATCATATATGGTAGATTTACGCTTTCATCTGTTGGATTTAGTTTCTGGGAACTCGGTCAGATCACATGTTGACTACAGCTCTCTGTCCGGTCCGAGCGTCTGCTTCTGGTTCCAGTTCAAATCTGAACAATGACAAAGTGTACGACACATGTGGGAGCACAGTAACGTCGTGGCCAAGGTGTATTTACAGGTGATTATATCAGCTAATCGGTGGATTACAGCATGTCGAGACCACACAAACCCCTAAGCTGCAGAGAAAAGAGTGTGGTCTTGTGGGATTTCCTGTTTAATCTGGTCCCAGAGTGCAGCAGCCCCTCCTGCTGTCACATCTGGCCTGTCAGGATTTACCGTTGTAATCCTTGATTTTAAACCTATTTTATTATGCTTTATCACTCATACATTGGACTTTAATTACTGAAATGCAGCTTTTTATTTAGCTAAGAAGTAATTACATATCCTTGTTCTACTAGCCCCCACTAAGTAATGAGGCTGGGCCACAGTCAGCTGCAGCCCCGTGGCGGCCGGCTGCATCCCATAGGTTATTTTCAGGTATGTCAAGGCATACAGAAAGAAATGATGACGGGGGCGAAAAGGCTTCCACTTGTTAGCTCTCTAGTGCACGTCATCCTCCTCTGTTCTCTCCCTCATGGGCTGTCAAATAAGGAAAGGTCGTGCTACTGGCCCAGGCTTTTTCCAGTTTGTCAATGCTGAAATGTTCTGTAGAGAAACACAGTGTTTCCATGCTGTCTGTTATGTTTACTTGTACACCATGTGTTCCATACAGCGGTCTGGTGGACATGAGCGCTGCATGCAGCTGGGGCAGTGGAAGGGTGAACCAGCACCGGCAGATGTCAAACACCACACTGTAAAAAGGTCTGATTAACACAAAGGGGCACTTTGACAAATCCTGATTATAGGAGCACTTTCATTTATTAAACTCTGCCAATCCCCTGTACTTTCTCTGAGCAGGGATTAAAACCAGGTAGTCACCATTGTCTGTCTAAACAATCCCTCTTTAAGCTCTGGCTGTCTCCTGTTCCCTGGCCAGGCTCAGTAGAGGCTTATAGGTCACTATTACAACTACACCTTCCCATTCATTCAACATCATCCCCTTTGGAGGGACCACTGATTTAGGACATGTTTTACAGGGGCAGAAAAAAAGGGAACAGCGAACTAATGCATGTTTACAAGTGAGGTGAAAAGGCTCAGGGACCAGTCGCAGCCATATGGGATTGATAACCCTGTGAACATCTGTCCTCGATCAGTTCCATGCACTGCCATTAGACTCGGGGCTGTGACCTTCACATGCGCACAGGAACATCTGGCCCTGTTCTGCTCTCATGGACCCCTAATAGCATTATTCAACCGACTGCTAGCTAGACAGTGAAGTCCATATGTGAGTTCTGGAAGTCCTGAAACACTGTGGCGATGACGATTTCAGCATTACTAGGTTAAAATGTCCTTGGACTCTGATTAGTCAACTAATGCTACAGAGTCTTACAATTCAAAATAGATGCACCATTCTGTAGACCTACGTAAAGCAGCCCACACGTTTAGCTGCAGCTTCTAAAGGAAGAAAATACAATTTCAAAATCCTTGTACTTTGCTAGGGTATTTCCATTTTATGATACTTTGTACTGTTCTACTATGTTTCAGAGGTTTTACTTGACTACATTTATTTCATAACTTTAGTTAGCAGTTAATTTCCAGATCGAGGTTAATACTACAACAATTCTGATATTTTTACATGAAACGTGTGGTATGCTTCTTGTAAAACACAACAGTTAAACATTAAACCAGTGGCTTGTGACCCATCACAAAAAGCATCATGTTTCAGATGTTTCAACAAACACAGATTGTAACTTCAAACTTCTCACACAGATAAATTTAGTTAACTGATGTCCAACGTGTCAAAAAGGCAGAGATTTAAAAAAAGTCTTAAAAAACAAATACTGATGTAGCATAACTTTGTTTTCTCTTCATCGATCGACTCACAAACCCCTTAAAACGGTCTTACGACCCTCTGGAGGGGCCCAGGTCCTAGGTTGTGCACCACTGGACATAACTAGCATATAAAGTAATAAACAAGCGCCACCTCCACCTGTTAGTAACACCCTGCTACATCAGTAACAAACAATCTAAAATGTACTTTTATTATTTTGATTAAATGTATCTACTCTTGAACTTAATGGGAATTTAAATGCAGGACTTTTACTTGTAGTTGAGTGTTTTTACATTTTTATTTTGACACTTTTATTTAAGTAAAGTGCTTCTTACAGCTCTTGTGTCTTTGGATGCCTTGACAAAAAGAAGCCATCACTGATGCTTTCTCTCTCTCTCTCTTAATTAAATTTTATTTCTGGTGATACAATCCCTAAACAGCACTAGCAAGGCGATAAATATATCAGCTGCTCTCTGACATAAATTCATTCCATAAAGATGTGGCATATGCTAGAGGATCATATTTCTTTATCCTCATAAAGGTTGCGTTTGCTTTCTAAATTGAAAGAGCATAAGGTCCCACTTTCATGTGACAATATAAATTCCTCACCTCAATAATTGTATCAGCTTATAAGGAGCTTACTGTATTAACAATACTGTCGTCTTCTGGTGACAGCCTAAATCATGAAATACACTCATTTCTAAAATGAAAACTCATTCAAACAGAAGCTATACTGGAGGAGGACGGAGGGATTACCACGTAAACCTGGCACATTTAATATTTACAGTGCAATCACACAATTAATCTGACAATGTGTTCTGTGTCTAATACCTGAACTGACCGGCCCTCATCATTACCAGTGCTGTGCACAGGGGGCGGCGGGCACAGGAGTAGGGGGAGTCGTGGAGACTGTTGACAACTTTGCAACTTGTGACCCAAATGCAACCCATCACATATCTGCACATTAACCGATAACTACAGCCAGTGTCACTGTGGTTACTGTAGTGTGTACTGTAGCTCTAAACGTGGATGATACTGTGAAGCCCTTTTCAGACGCGCTGGCTTCATCAATCTGTTAAAGCAGTGACTCAGACATAGGTCACTTTTATGTTAATGTTCCTCACAGCCTCTCACATGAGAACATTTCCTGTTGTAAACAAAATATTTTGAGCATCGAACAAATCAAAACATCTGAAGGTGTCACGTTCAGCTCTGAGAAGTTATAATGGGCATTAGTTTGACAAATGCTGACATTTCATAAACCAAATGTTTTATTAATTTAATGAAAAATAATCACCAGAATAACTGGTAATGAAAATAATCATCTGAGGTCCAACTTCATACAGGTATGCTGCTCCATTAGTTATGTTGCTAAAGACCTAAACTCCTGGGGGGCGTCCTGAGGCCGAGTCCTCTCCTCTTCTTTCCTCTCTCCTCTCCTCCCCTCCTTTCCTCTCTCCTCTCCGGAATCTAAATAGTAACTTGCTATTAAATAAATAGAACGTACAATATTTCACTCTGAAATGTAGTGAAATAAAATAAACTTGCAAAGCATAACATAAAATAAAAATAGGAAGGTGCATTAAAAATAAATTTGACTACAGTACTGCCAAGTACATGCACTGATACTTTCCACCACTGTTTTTGCCCCTGAGCCAGAATGTGCACACCAGTGACCAAAATCAGCTCTTGCTTTGTTTTATCTACCTCCACAATTCATTTATGTACAGTGTCTGTGAATTAAAGCTGCCTGCTATAGTTTCTCGATGCTATGCCGAGACTTGTATAAATGTACTTAAACTATCAAACACTCTAAGTAAAAACACTACTGCAGTAAATTAATAATAGTACAGTTAGAAATAAGACTACAGAACCAAATCTTTAAGGTCCCTGGCAATAAAGATTTTATCTATGCAAAACAATGTATTATTATTATTATTAGATCAACTATAGATAAATAAATGTAGTAGCCTTAAAAACGCATTATTCCCTCTGAAATATAAACAGAAAGTATCAAAACCAGGATACTGCAGTAGGCCTGTACTTGTACACAGTATACCTGAATACATTTTTGGAGGAATATTGATACTATAAGTGCTGAAAGAAAGAGGGGAGGCATGGGTGTGTTTAAAGGGTTAACAGGAGGAGGCGCAGCAGTGGTCAGCTCGTCTGGGTGGGGTGAAGTTTACGCATCTACTATTCTCAAATTAGCCAACGGGACCGTGTTATGGCCGAGTGAAAAGCACCAACAGGACCGAGGACGTGTAACAGCCCGCAGCAGAAACGCGCCCAGGTCGTTACCGGGTAGTTACCGGGTCGTTACCGGGACGTTACACGCGCTGAGCCGAGATGGGTGATGTGAGTGAGGGGTCGCTGCTGGACTACTTCTACACCACCGGAGGAAATTCGGGCAGAGTCAAAAATGCAGACATGCTGAGAACATTTAAGCCTTTTATTGGCCACAGTGACTTACACTTACGTGGTAAGTTGCGCGCCATCGTGTCGTGCGTTCGGCTAAATGAAAATAGGCTGAAAATGCTGAGGTGTGACGTGGTCGTGCGCGGCATCAGGTTGGCGTGGGATGGTACAAAAAGTGACCTCGTGTTTGTCTGACACTTGTCATAATTGGATTAATGTGGTTGTTTTTAAAAGCAGCAACCCCAGTGCGTTTTAACACGCACGGCTTTTACGTCCTGTCCTTGTAAAGCAGACATCTGGTTTGTATTAAAAGCCCAGGATCTGCAGTTTCAGAAAGAATTGTGTCATTTCCTCCCTGAGGACAGTTGTCACTGATCAGAGGACCTGAACCAAGCCACCAACAGATCGTATCACCATGCCAACTGTGGCGCCTCTGTAACATGAGGAGAAATTATAATGTCACCACTTCCCACCATTGTAGCTCAGCAACACTGTTATGTGTTGTAATATTCTATTGTGGGCTTGTTTTTCTGTGCCGTTCATCTCCACCCATGCAGGTTTACTGGACTAATGCTTATGCAATCCTGTCCTCAATCACTACAAACACCAACAGTCTTCTCATATTTCTACTGACAGATGTTTGCTGGAGAACTTATGTGTGTGCGCTTGCATTTGTGTAGTGTACCATCTGTGCTCCTTTGCTGGGTACACCAAGCTAAAACAGCTCGGCAATAAATCCCACTTTTACTTTTAAAGAGGACACTGTCTGTCTTCCTTTTACTACTACACAATTAATGAATTAATTAATAATAAGGACAACATATTGCTCAGCTAATACACTTAAGTGTTTTGCTGCTACAGCTTTACTTGATCTGGTGTAACATGGATGGAGTACGACACATTGGGTCCCTGGATGCAGACATCTGAAAGGCTCTGCAACCTGCTCCCAGACGGAAACAGACATGAAACAACTACAAAGTCATTTTGCCTCCCGTTCTGGTTGTTTCGTGTCTGTTTGCAGTTGTTTAGCATAATTTGTAGTCAGTTTGTATCTCTTTGTAGTTATGGATGTCTCATTGTGGTTCTTTTGTATCTCTTTGCAGTTGTTTAGCTTCTCTGTAACCATTGTGCATCTCTTTGTGGTTGATTTGTCTCTTTAAAGATGCATTAACTAATTTATTTTCAGCCACTAGAGGGTCTAGTGAAACTCAAACTGAAATTTTCTTTCCTATCACTGAGGTAAACTATGAAAAAATAAAATTGGACTTCAGGGCAAGGGAAATGGAATCACTACTACAGCACTAATTATGCATCTCTTTGTGGCTGTTTTGGTTCCCTTTGTAGTATTTTAGTTTGTTTCTAGCTTGACTGTATTAACAGAACTGACATTTCTGATTCAGAAATGTTAGTTACACAACAGTATCCGTATAAAGTTTGTTAACTTTAGCTACATTAGCCACCTAAAGCAATTGGTCATACCAGACTAAATAAAGCTGTAGCAGTGAACTTTGTGAGCTGTGTGAGTTTTACTTATGAATTCGACTTTTTTCCACTTCCTAAGAGAAGGATTATATTATTTGCATCTTGAATTTGGGATGGTCAAGTTTTATTGCTGGTATATTCGACTGCAGTTCCTTAAGCTAGTACGTATTCGTTGAAACCCCAAGAAGATAAAACACACATCAATGACCAATCATACCTGCAGATTAAACTGCTAAATTGTGTGGCCCAGGAAATACAGTATTGTTCAAAATAATAGCAGTACAATGTGACTAACCAGAATAATCCAGGTTTTTAGTATATTTTTTATTGCTACATGGCAAACAAGTTACCAGTAGGTGCAGTAGATTCTCAGAAAGCAAACAAGACCCAGCATTCATGATATGCACGCTCTTAAGGCTGTGCAACTGGGCAATTAGTTGAAAGGGGTGTGTTCAAAAAAATAGCAGTGTCTGCCGTTGACTGTACAAACACAAAACTATGTTGTACAAAGCCCAGCCAATGATCAGCTCCAGGATGATCAAAGACAGTCTGGAGTTACCTGTAAGTACTGTGACAGTTAGAAGACGTCTGTGTGAAGCTAATCTATTTTCAAGAATCCCCCGCAAAGTCCCTCTGTTAAAAAAAAGGCACGTGCAGAAGAGGTTACAATTTGCCAAAGAACACATCAACTGGCCTAAAGAGAAATGGAGGAACATTTTGTGGACTGATGAGAGTAAAATTGTTCTTTTTGGGTCCAAGGGCCACAGACAGTTTGTGAGACGCCCCCCAAACTCTGAATTCAAGCCACAGTACACAGTGAAGACAGTGAAGCATGGTGGTGCAAGCATCATGATATGGGCATGTTTCTCCTACTATGGTGTTGGGCCTATTTATCGCATACCAGGGATCATGGATCAGTTTGCATATGTCAAAATACTTGAAGAGGTCATGTTGCCTTATGCTGAAGAGGACATGCCCTTGAAATGGTTGTTTCAACAAGACAATGACCCCAAACACACTAGTAAACGAGCAAAGTCTTGGTTCCAAACCAACAAAATTAATGTTATGGAGTGGCCAGCCCAATCCCCGGACCTTAATCCAATCGAGAACTTGTGGGGTGATATCAAAAATGCTGTTTCTGAAGCAAAACCAAGAAATGTAAATGAATTGTGGAATGTTGTTAAAGAATCATGGAGTGTAATAACAGCTGAAAGGTGCCACAAGTTGGTTGACTCCATGCCACACAGATGTGAAGCAGTTATAAAAAACTGTGGTCATACAACTAAATATTAGTTTAGTGATTCACAGGATTGCTAAATCCTAGAAACAAAAACGTTTGTACAAAATAGTTTTGTGTTTGTACAGTCAAAGGCAGACACTGCTATTTTTTTGAACACACCCCTTTCAACTAATTGCCCAATTGCACAGCCTTAAGAGCGTGCATATCATGAATGCTGGGTCTTGTTTGCTTTCTGAGAATCTACTGCACCTACTGGTAACTTGTTTGCCATGTAGCAATAAAAAATATACTAAAAACCTGGATTATTCTGGTTAGTCACATTGTACTGCTATTATTTTGAACAATACTGTAAATATTGAGCTTGTAAATTTTTCATTATCTATCTATCCAACAGTGCCTTTACCTTTAGCACGGGAATTGAATACAAACATACAGTGCCTTGCGAAAGTATTCGGCCCCCTTGAACTTTGCGACCTTTTGCCACATTTCAGGCTTCAAACATAAAGATATAAAACTGTAAGTTGTTGTGAAGAATCAACAACAAGTGGGACACAATCATGAAGTGGAACGAAATTTATTGGATATTTCAAACTTTTTTAACAAATAAAAAACTGAAAAATTGGGCGTGCAAAATTATTCAGCCCCTTTACTTTCAGTGCAGCAAACTCTCTCCAGAAGTTCAGTGAGGATCTCTGAATGATCCAATGTTGACCTAAATGACTAATGATGATAAATAGAATCCACCTGTGTGTAATCAAGTCTCCGTATAAATGCACCTGCACTGTGATAGTCTCAGAGGTCCGTTTAAAGCGCAGAGAGCATCATGAAGAACAAGGAACACACCAGGCAGGTCTGAGATACTGTTGTGGAGAAGTTTAAAGCTGGATTTGGATACAAAAAGATTTTCCAAGCTTTAAACATCCCAAGGAGCACTGTGCAAGCGATAATATTGAAATGGAAGGAGTATCAGACCACTGCAAATCTACCAAGACCTGGCCGTCCCTCTAAACTTTCAGCTCATACAAGGAGAAGACTGATCAGAGATGCAGCCAAGAGGCCCATGATCACTCTGGATGAACTGCAGAGATCTACAGCTGAGGTGGGAGACTCTGTCCATAGGACAACAATCAGTCGTATACTGCACAAATCTGGCCTTTATGGAAGAGTGGCAAGAAGAAAGCCATTTCTTAAAGATATCCATAAAAAGTGTTGTTTAAAGTTTGCCACAAGCCACCTGGGAGACACACCAAACATGTGGAAGAAGGTGCTCTGGTCAGATGAAACCAAAATCGAACTTTTTGGCAACAATGCAAAACGTTATGTTTGGTGTAAAAGCAACACAGCTCATCACCCTGAACACACCATCCCCATTGTCAAACATGGTGGTGGCAGCATCATGGTTTGGGCCTGCTTTTCTTCAGCAGGGACAGGGAAGATGGTTAGAATTGATGGGAAGATGGATGGAGCCAAATACAGGACCATTTTGGAAGGAAACCTGATGGAGTCTGCAACAGACCTGAGACTGGGACGGAGATTTGTCTTCCAACAAGACAATGATCCAAAACATAAAGCAAAATCTACAATGGAATGGTTCACAAATAAACATATCCAGGTGTTAGAATGGCCAAGTCAAAGTCCAGACCTGAATCCAATTGAGAATCTGTGGAAAGAACTGAAAACTGCTGTTCACAAACGCTCTCTATCCAACCTCACTGAGCTCGAGCTGTTTTGCAAGGAGGAATGGGCAAAAATTTCCGTCTCTCGATGTGCAAAACTGATAGAGACATACCCCAAGTGACTTACAGCTGTAATCGCAGCAAAAGGTGGCGCTACAAAGTATTAACTTAAGGGGGCTGAATAATTTTGCACGCCCAATTTTTCAGTTTTTTATTTGTTAAAAAAGTTTGACATATCCAATAAATTTCGTTCCACTTCATGATTGTGTCCCACTTGTTGTTGATTCTTCACAAAAAATTACAGTTTTATATCTTTATGTTTGAAGCCTGAAATGTGGCAAAAGGTCGCAAAGTTCAAGGGGGCCGAATACTTTCGCAAGGCACTGTATGATAACCTCCCCCGTATGATTATCCAAAGTGACCTTGTACCCAGTATGCACTGTCCAGATGCTACGTTAGCACTTACAGAGGTTTACAAAGCTGCCTTGATACACTGCCATCTGACGCTAGTGTTTTATTTATAATAAAGACCACATGCATGACTAGATGTAGAACTGTTTCATCAGATATGAAATCTGGGGCATGTTTGGATGTGTAGTAGTGTTGTTGGAGGGGGGTGCTTGCACGTGTTTGTGTGTGTGTTACTTGTTTGTGCAGAGCTCTGGTTAACAAATAACTAGTATGTGTACTATGTTACCCGCTGTGCTGAGAAGGAATTCCTCTGTTGAGACAGATATAAGTGGCAGCTTCCTCTGGGTTTCCTGTTGTTGTGAATGTGAGCTGGGCAGCCTCTAATTCCAAATGGCTTTTCTGTCCACATCAGGAAAGGGAAACACTTCAATTGTCCCGAGCTGCATGCCTATGTACACCAAGCAATGAATACCAACACCTAGCTTGCCTATAGCCGTTCTCACTGCTTGATCACCAGGGGCCTACACTGAGAGTCAGCTTTTAATCTCACAGCCTGCACACGTCTAAATATCTGCTCACTGGTGTAAACAAAGGCAGATAGCTTTATCTGACTTGTCCATCAGCTAGCGTTTGGTTCCCACAGAAGAGATTTACTGTAGGCCTGCAGTGACTCAGGTTTTTGCCTGTGGGGATATTCTGTACCTTGTTCCTCTTACTGTCACTCACAAATCTAAACAGTCACTGTTACATCCTGGCCACATCTACAGTATATCTGGAAATACTCCGTGTCTGTATTGAATCCTGCTTAATTACAACTTGTTTCATTCCTAGTCTCCTTTTATCACCCATATAAAAAAGATGAGCTGAGTGTGCTCACTTTCTTTTTGCCCTCAGTTGACAGTTTTTGCATATTGGAACTACTAATGTCAAAGTATTACAGTGTATGAGAGATTAGAAACTATAATAAATGTTCACTTTTTCAAGTGAAACCTTTCAAATGTTTCCTCCTGCAGCTAAATACCGAGAGGAATTCAAGCTCATTATTGACAGAATCGCTGTGGTGAAGTCAGAGAATGTAAGTGAACGATCCAAATATGTTTATCTTTTCTGTTCTCATGTATTCTGTATTCATATTAACAGATTCCCTGTGAACAGTTCAGCTGACATGACATAATAAGGAGTTAGCTTTGTTTCTTCACAGCTGTTCTGACACTAGTTTCTCCCAAAACACTGCAGCTTTCACTTTCTTTCAAACTCATATATACAGTATATGGCACTAATACAAACATTACTTCAAAGATAATCAGACTGGTTTTATTTTGGAATCTAATTATTTCAGTGTTATTATTTAAAGCAATAGTTTGACATTCTGTGCAATATTCTTGTTCCCTTTCGTCTTGAGAGTTGGATGAGTAGAGTGTTGTACCCTTCTCATGTCTGTTTGTCAAATATCAAGTTACAGCCAGGAGATGATGAGGCTAACCTGGCACTTAGATTTGACAAAGATCTGCCTACCAACACATCTGACTAGTTTAAAGGTCAAAGTGTTTATGTGTCATATGCACAGTTAAGAAACGTGTTGAATGAAATTCTTACTTTGCCGTCCACATGAACGCCACACAAAACAAATGAAATATAAACTAGATGAATAAGTAACAAAATCTAAGGCATTTTAAAGCAGCAGATGCAGAGATATAATAAAAATATAGAAGATATAAACATATAAACAGAATTTTTAAACAATTTTATGTGTAGTAACTATGTCTTGGTTGGATACACTTATAGCATGAAAGTCCCTTTATGACAACTTATTTTCACATTTCTGTAAATATAAAGAGATTAAAACAAATGAAACAGCCTCAGAGGAGCGTTGACAGAGCCAGACTAGCTGTTTCCTCCTGTGCGTTAGTCTTCTAGCTTCACACCTCAAGCTATTCTGTTCAATACTGATGTCTCGTAGCACTATGGAGCAACTGTTTTATGAAGGGTCGTCATTTGGTTTGTCTTGTGCATTCACATGAAGACGTGGTGATGTACAGTAATACACACTCCTGCCTGTGGTTTCACTGTTGTGCCAAGAAATACAGTGATGTGCCAACAGAGGTAGGGAAAAGAGAGCCAGGACCCTAGCAAATGTTGATGTAAACAGTTTGAAATGGAATTTGACTTGGTTTATGAGGAAGGAAATGCATTCAGTACATCTGTTAGGGCTCAAAGAGAAACACAAAGGGAACATAACGACTGATTCTACAGGGCACCTTTACTGTAGCGACATGAGAGTGGTATCAGTCTTTTCATCTAACCCTCGTTAAGAAAGGGCATCCGAATATGTCTCAAAATGTCAAACTGTTCCTTTAGTCTGCCATAATTATTGAAGCCATGCGTACATCTGACTTAATCGCATACAGACCAGTCATTTCCTTCCTGACTTTTAGCCTTTATGACAAAATAAGCTAAGCTAATCAGCCCCTGGCTATAGCACACATTTAATGGACAGATAACATCTACTCCAGTAAGTGAATAAGCATCTTTTCAATGTCAAGTCAAACTATTTCTTTGTGCATGAAGTGAAAATGGTTTTTATTTTGTCAAGAAAGACTTCTATGGAAACAACATTGGTACAGTTGAATCACACAGGCTATACTGTAAGGAAAAAACACAAGTCATTACAGCCAACACTTTGTTCCAGTATAGTTTATGTGCACAGAAATCTGACATATGATCTTGTCCCCGAATGATCGGATTCAAAAACACAGGTTGCTGTGATGGCTTCGGTTTAGAAGGTGGAACAGGCAAATTCTTCAACCAAACTCAGACACAACTGACATGATTTTTTTATCTACTTTTCAAAAGCATATTGTGCTTTTCGACTGTTTGTCACAGGGTGAGAAGTACCTCGTCCTAAAGAAGAAATACAGGCAGCTACTACAAGAGCGGGACACCAAGCATCACGGGACAGACGGGGCCAGAACAACGGCCACTGTACAATGGGACGCGTCGGCTGTCTCGACTTATTCACCGCACCACAAGCAACAACAGGATGAGCTGATGTCATGTGGAGAGCCCAGCAGCACTGCAGAGGTGAATTTAAAATCAGCTCACTTTTCTATTGTATGTATATAAACCAAAATAAACTGTGGGACCAGGTGGGATTAATCCACAGCGGGTGCTAAAATGCAGCTTGCTGAATTTGCCATTGCCTCAGGACATCAGGTTTACTCTGCATGTGAATGATACATTTATTTCTAAACAAGGCCATCTTTGTTAGCATGGTCTGGTCCTGAGGAGCAGAAAAGAAGCTCTTTGGCTGTGATAAACTAGTCATCTGTTCAAAGGTCAGAGGGCTTGTGTCTTTACATAAAGGACAGAGCAGTTCAATGCTAATGTGAAGAAGCATGTGACAGTTATGAAGGTAAACATTTTGTGCGGGTTTAATCCAGAGTAATCCTGTTGAAGTACGTTTACATATTGTTTCCTGCAATAAATGTGAGCAACTTAATCATATATTTGAGAGCTTTCATGTATTTTATGCTTCTGGCTGAGTATCCTCTCCCAGGATTTGTTCAAACAGGAACTCTAGCAAACAATATCTGCCATGCTACATGCACTTCACACAGCTAAATATGTGGACACCATTTGGGTCTAAGACAGTCTGAGTTGACGGTATGCTTGTACTCCTGTAGGACCAGCAGACAGGAACACACAGCATGCAGCATGTTCTACCGCAGCCTCCCGCCATCCAGATCCAGGAACCCTCAGCACAAAGCAACAGGGAGGATGAGCTGGACAAAGATTCGGGGTCAAAGGTGAAAGTTTGTCTGATTGAGAGGCAGTGCTTTAGTATGGGCTTGCACTCACTGGTCTAGAAGAGCAACAGTGTTGCTTTTTGCACACCTGCATAATGTTGGTTCTACTTGCAGCCTCTTGAAGGTAGATGTAGGTGCGCATGTGGTGTTCATTTATGCCTCCAGCTAGAGCGCTCCTCTAGAGGCAGAAACAGGATGCTGCTCTTTCGCTGTCTGAGGTGCAACATGTGGTTGAGCCAAAACGATTTGTCGATTAATCCATCAACTGGCAAAAAATGAATCTGCAACAACAAGTGAATAGTTTGTCATTTTAGTCTCCTGTGATAGTACGTTCCAATTTGAAGACATTACACTGGGCTAAGAGAAAGTGCATATTTTCTACTACCTGACCAAACAACTGAGAAAAGACTTATCAGATGAGCTGATTAACAATGGGCGGCTGCTGGTTAGTCCTCTATCAGTAATACAGTACGTTAGTGTGCTACCACAGTACAGTACCAACATGGAGACAGTAGCCAGGACCATGGATGAGGCCTTTCCATTTGTGGATGAAATGGAAGGTAAACTTGCTTGAACTCCCAGTAGTTGAAGCTGCTTTATTAATTTGTTTCTGTTTCTATGTTTCTGACTCACAGGTCTTTTAAGGATAATTTTCTAGAATCATTGCAGCGACTTGTACCCCGGGTATGTGGAAAGACCATAAAATGCAATAGAATAAAATGAGAATTATTTGGTGGCTTCCAAAAGCATCTTTACAAAGGTTAAAAAGCATTGTCTGAAAAATAAGATTAACAGTTTTAAGTAACGTCCCCTACAAAAGCCATTCAGACGAGCAGCTGTGGGACAAGATGTGGCTGTCAAATGAAAAAGTACATCCTGGTGTTTCAACACCAGATTCCTACTCCAGACACAACCTGAAAGGCTGTGAAGCAGTATTTGGGCTGGTAGGCTGTGTCACTGTTGGACATGTAAATTAATATTAAAATGAACAGTTATAGAAAATATGATAAAATAAAAATAAATAATCAAATAGCATATGAAAACTTTGTTATACTCTGTTTAAGTTACAGGTCTTTCAGAAATCTCAGTCCGTTCACAGGTGTTGAAGCAGCCTGACACAGTACATTACCAGTGATTACACAAGGTTTCTATTTTGAAATGTAGGGCTCAGATGTCAGAGCCTGGGGTTTGTACGGCCTCGTGCTGAAATAAATTAGTATACAGGCCATATATGTACCTCCCCAGTTGTTATTCTTCTAATCATTCATAGTTTAAAAAATCTTATGTGTTTGGAAATGATGAATAGTGTGAACACAAGCTCAGCTGCTGGTCACTTATCACACCAAACACGGCGTTCGTTAGTCACTGTGGTAGTGAGAGGACGACCACGTTCATTTATTTTAAACATGTCCTCTTGTTGTGAACATATTGCAGGTCAGCACATTCTCTGTGGGTGACTCCATTATTTAACCACCTTTCACTGTAACTGGTAGGAGGAAGGACAGTGGTGGAAAATAACTTGGGTGCATTTACTCAGCTACTGTTCTTGAGTGCAGAGTTACAGTATTTGCACTTTATTTCCATTTTCTGCTATTTTTTTTACTTCTACTCCACTACATGTCAGAGGTACGTTGCTATATTCATTTCATTACAAATGAATTGATTACTACAGGAAGAAACTGGAAATTCACAAGCTCCTCATCAGTAGCAGCGTTAAAGTGATGTACGCATAATGACATGACAAAATTACAGCTAAATCAACTATTCAGTTTATCAATAACCGGGAAAATAATTGACTAATTGTTTCAGTCATTTTTCAGGCAGAATTAGTGAGGAAAGCCAAATCTCAGTTTGGTGTTTGGACAGATGGCTGAACAAAGCGGGACATCTGACAACACAGACATTCTTTCACAGTTTTTTTTTTTTTGGATGTTTCATAAACTAAACTATTAATCGATAATGAAAATAACTTAATAGCAGCCCTTAATACAGTACATTAATCTGAAATGGGACATTCTGCATAACGAGTACTTTGACTTTTGATACTTTAAGTATATTTTTATGCATATACTTTTGTTTAAATAAAACTCTGAATGGCTGACTCGTAACAGTGTATTTCTACACTATGGTATCACTACTTTTATACAAGTAAACTATCTGGCTACTGATTTCCAGTTCAGTAGCTCCACCCCAGTGGTTCCTCCATCAGCCAGCAGGTGGTGCTAAGTAAACTACCTGGATTTGTAACTTACAATAAGTGTGAGGAGGATTAAGCAGCAACATGCTGGAAGTCATCACAACAGTTATAGTCAAGAGAGTGGGATTCACTCCAGAGAAAGATGTGTGGCTTTCCTCAGTGGTCTGCACAACAGAAATATGCTGAAGTTACTTGAACCCTGCAGTCAGTTTAAGTGTGTTTGCTTAATGTATTAGTCACACCGCTGAACTGTGTGTTGACAGCAGAGAAGCTACCTGGCTCAGTGTAGTGTTGTACTATCCTTAATCAGAACACCTGGGGCTGTAAACTGGACTGAGTTCCTAAAGACACTGTGAAACAAAAGACAAACAGAAGGTGCTGACAAAGCGTTTCAAAGCATTACTCTGCTTAAGTAAAGTCACAGAGCTCTAGTGTAACTGTAAACTCTAGCCTGCTTAGCTACCTGACATACTTTAACCTGACGCCCATATTCACTTTAAAGGCGCTCTTCAGATTAGTTTTGGTTATTTAAGCACAGTTTCACTTAACTTGTCCACAGACTTCACAGTGTCTAATGCTGAGCTGCAATGGCAACTAATGTGGCTGAACAGAAATAAGACTGACGGCCATCTTGGTAACCACAAGCAAACAGGCGGCCTGGGCCGTCCTGTTGCCACGGGACATATTCAAACGTACCAGTGGTTTCTAGTCAACAGGACGGCCTTCGCTTGGGCCCATGTAGCGTGTCTATGAAATTATTGGGCATGCACTCTAGGATAAGTTTGGTTTACTGCTCAAGGGGGAGTTGTTGGGTGTTTCCTCTATGATATTAACAACAGCCAGGACTGGACCTGACTTTGTAAAGTGTCCTGAGACGACACCTTTTGTAAAATTAAATTGAATAGTTGTTTAATCAGTCTGTTGACTTTTTTGATGATCAATTAATCCTTCAAATCATTTCTGAAGAAAAAAAATCACCAATCATCTTAATTTCACTGCCTTTCTTTGTCTTATGGGACAGTCAAGAGAAAATCTTTGGGTTTTGGAATGCTGGGTGCTTGGACGATACAAGATGTGGTAAGATTTCACTCTGAGCTCAGGAAAATAATGAGAAGCACATGGTAACAAATCTAAAACTCAACACATGAAAATAATCAACATATAGTGAAAATAATAGTTGTAGCTCTAGAAGCAATTAAAATGACTGTTAATGAAACAATGTAAAGCACTGAGAGGGTAATTACTGGAATTCTGTGAACTTCTCAGTGTTTTCCTTTAGGCCCAGTAATGTTTTTCTCTGTCTGTTGTTGGTCTCCACTAAAAGTGCTACAAAAAAATGGACGTGTCAGAGTGAAAAGATAAATACCATCCCTCCACTTTTCCTGTTCGGTATGTTGACATGTGGCAGTTTGTGCAAGAGACATGAAAGGGCCGAATGTTTTACATCATGTCACTGTTCGATGTGAGAACAATTTGCAGTCAAGTCCTCAAAAAAGTCGAGAACGAAGAAGAAACGGTTTCTGCTCCCATGAATCAGCCAGTGACCCTCCTGTGTTCATTATTTTTGGAGTTTTATTCTTGACCCCTTTAGTCTAAAATACACATGGCCCAACTTTTTTTTTTGGTTAATTGTTAATTGGGTTGATATTCATTACCCCTTATGTGTGAAACTGCCACCTCTGCCTCGCTGCCTCATTACCTCTCTATCAGTCTGACACCCCCCTGGCCATGCTAGAAAACATCACAGCAGTGTGTGTGAAAGTGGGTGTGTGTGTGTGCCCTGTGATGTTTGATCATGCTTGGTGAGCATTATGACTGATACAGTGCAGTTAACTAGTGTCACAACAGGCTATTTGTCACCACTGAGTAATAGTCCATCTTCTGTTTTCTGTCTTTCAGTCAGAGTCGGAGCAAGACGAGGAGGGTACGAGCAGCATGGGCTCCGTTGCTGTTGCTGTAAGTCCTGTTGTGTCTTTTCTACTGTGGTTTTAGAAGAGATATAAACAAAACGTGAAGGGAAACGTAAAAGTATAAACTGCTGAGGTGTATGACATCACTGTGGGTGTCTCCCATAATGTGTCAGTCGTTTGTAGGAAATGGATTAGAGGTTTGTGGCTTCACCACTATCAACAGGATGTGGATAGTAGGGTGTGTTTGTGTACATGTCTGAAACACCCCTCCGCTCTCTGTGCTAGCTGGATCCTATAGAGAAGGAGTGGATCTATTCTGCTGCGGGTGCACGAGTCCCTGACCTCTCTCAGTTGCTCAGACAGGACCCCTCACTGGCAAACAAGAAGGTAGCGCCACTCTCTGCTCTGGAGCTTAAAGGATAATTGCACTTTATTACAAATAGACTCTCACTGTCATATTTGTTATTGATACAACATCTGGATAGAAATATTGCTACCACAAAGTCTGATGGAGCAAGAGACATGAGCATTGATCTTTTATTGTGATACCAAGTCAACAAAGTTTTGTTTTCAATAAAAACTGTCAGGTGATTGGAATAGTAGTTGCATCTATGGTTTCACTAATTTCTGCCTTTGTGTTCTGTCTTTTTTGGGTGGGTGATACCAGGAATTCACCTCAGTGAGTATTTGATATGAGATTGCTGTATGTAACATGTTGCACGTTGTGCTGCAGGTGTCATTGTTATTAAGGCTGTACTGGACATTGCTTATTGTCTGAGTCAAAGCCTTTTATTCACTCTTTTTTGCAACCTGTGACTCCTGACTGTGACCATGGCCGTCCTTCTCAGGGGGTAAGTTTCATCATTCATACTTCTTTTGGAGCCTGTTGCATTAGAACTCTCAACACCTAGCCTGTTGGAAAGGAACTTCACTTACAACGTACATTAACTTGACCATATTTCAGCTGTTTCCTTACCAATCAACTGTGACTCTTCACTCTGAGACTGCAGTTTTGCTTTAACTCCCACAAGCACATTCTGCTGAGATGTTCCCTTTAATTGTATTCTGAGAACTCTGTGTTAAAACATCCAGATCATGCATTTCAAAGGCCCACTAACCAAAGGATTATGAAAGATAGCTTTTTAGCTCCTGTGCCTCCCTGACAACCCAAATCCTTTTATTTGTCTCCCTGTTCGCTTAAGAGATTTGAGCTCATGTTTGTTGTCCCTCCCCTGTGTCACAGTTCTCACACTGTCCTGTGGCCATGGCAGACCACCTTCTAAGAGTGGGCCTAAGCCTCCGCCATCCCCACCCGGACAAGATAGCATGGCCGCCATTGAAGTGTAGGGAGATGGGGGCGGGATTAAGGAGAGTCTTAATGCCCTACAGAGATTTCACCCATTTAAAGATAATCTGAAAGTAATAGAGCAGGCTGGGATTAATTGTAGAACAATGCTGGTCATGTCCCCGGGAAGGTGCTAAGTCCCCCTCAGGCCCCTTTGATATTCCCTTTAGCCATGAGCCTTTCCCTGTTCAGCAGAGGTGGATGCCTTCCCATAGGTAACATACAAAGATACCTACCATCAGAACGTCACAAGACTCATTAGACCCAACGTAGAATTAATTACTGGTTTGCATTCGTCATGTTACAACTTTGTTCAACAGACGTTTAGGTAAGTAGACTAAATAGCAGGCTCTAAATCACATGTTTGACATGGACTGAAGGGATTACTCTTCATCCTGGGAGGACTTAGGTTCCTGTTCTGACTAAGTGTTTGTTAGGATCAAGTGCTGGTCTGTACTGAGCTCACCCCACTTCTCTCTCTCATGCAAATTTTTCTCTTCCTGTTTTCCTCGTGGCGTGGGCCTCCGTTCCTGCTGTGATGCCTTCCTCTGCCACACAGTTTGTAAGTACATCATTCGCACATCACTCCTGTCTTGTTTTCCTCCACATCCAGGAGAGTGTGAGGCACACTGGCCTTTGTGTCTCCTGTCGATGTGAGCCCTCTTTAGCCGCCGTTTCCCCCATTGGGGAGCTCGTGGCAGGGACAGAACGGCCCGTGAGTGATCAGACAGGTGGGGGCTCACCGCGGTTGGCAGGATCAGAAACAAGAGGCGCAGGAAGGGAAAACGTTGCATCCTGTTCAGCCTCGTCCATCACTCCTGCCCAACGGGAGACCCGCCGAGCCGCCTATCAAACAGCCCTATCCTCAATCCGTCTTAAGATCTGACAGGAGACAGACAAAAGAGACGGAGACACTTTAGCCAGACAGCATCTATCACCCTCTGTCTCCCAGAGGCCTGACACACACACAGAAGTACCTACACATCACTTCCTCACTCCTTCAGTGGATACAAGAGGAACGTTTTCTCTCACCAGCTACGATTAGCATCATAGCTTCTACACACAAAAGGACATGGCTCTAGTTCAAGCAGTGTGACAGCCCAAGTATGTTTGTCTCTTCTGTTGCCAATACATATGAGTCACAAAGCTAAGTGGCCATTTCTCTTGGTCAAACCATTTAACACCTACAGCTGTTCTGAAGGTATTTGTATAACCCACAATCTTATAATCATTTGGATGGAAAAATATTCCATCTGCTGCACAATTAAAAACATTTTAAGCCTTTTTCCCAGTTGTGACTATTTCCCACTCCAGGCAGACATACAGCACTGTGCAGATGTTTAGGCTCTTACCTATCATGCAGTACCATCAAGGTGGAGATCAGTCTCAAATTCATTCCACAGCACCAAAAGGTCATAGTACTACTAGCCTACACGCGTTACTTTTAGTACTTAATTTCCTCCAATCTAAAAATCCTCACTGAAATGATTTCCCAGTGCATTTAGCCTCCTAGTCCCGTTCAGACGAACGCACGTCACAGAAACATAACATAAACAGCTGGGCGTTACACTTTAACAGAGGGGCAAACAAACCGGATTCACATATGCAAAACCAGCCACATCATTGAGACAATGAAAGTCTTTTCTCTTGCAAAAGTAGACCACAAAGTTTGAAAACATCTGACATGGGTACTATTTAATTTATTGTGTTATGGGTTCACCTCACAAAGGATGGATGTGGTTATTTAGTCAACACCTATGCTCAGCTCTCACCTGTTGATAAGATAAGGATAATCACCTTTATTGGCCAAGTATGTTAGAGACAAGGAATTTGTTTCCGGTACAGAACCGAGGCAGCCATCTGTGGCACCAACTCAACTGATGGCTCTAACCATCGGGGGGGTTCACTGTCTTACCCAAGGACACTTCGATACATGGACTGCTGACACCGATATTTGAACCATCAACCTTCTGGTTGGAGACAACTGCTCTACCCACTGAACCACAGTCGCCCCATAATTACACAGCTTAAACTGTGAAGGACAAACAGAGTAGATCACAGTTCGAGTCAGTCGGATGGATGTGGTTTGCATCTGACTTGTGTTTTCTCCTTTATGCATGTGTCTGGTATTTTCACATCTACACACAGTTTGTGTATCTTTGCATGTGGACGTTGGTGCATCTTCTAAGAGCTGTGTTGCGGGGGCCCGTGTTTCCCTCCTTGACGTGTGCTGACAGTAGTGCAGCGATGTCTTGGCGGGTCCCCCCTCTGCGGGTCACACTAACATCATCAATCTTCCCCTGGTGACAGGCAGCCTGGGCCCCCCAGCTGTGGGCACAGGGCTGTGTTGTTTTGTAATTAGGCTCCGTTAGATGGCAGGAAGCCATCCCTCCATCTGCCCACTCCCCTCTGTGCACAGCTGGCCCTCCGCCCTCACACAGCCAATAAGAAGCTGCCCCACTCAGCTCAGACAACTTGTAATGATGCTACAGCAATTATCACATCTGATAATAGTACAGAACACCGCAGTGGACAAGTAGACTTTAAAAATAACTCTTTCCTTGTTTAACACAGACAGCTCTGCACTGGGCTGCCAAACATGGCAACGAGGACATGGCCACTCTGGTGGTTAATGCTGGCGCTGATGTCAACACCAAGTCAGTGAGTGCACTTTTACTTTTTCATAGTTATTTTAAAGGGGCACTCCAACTGTTTAGTATCAAACATCCGTCAGTATAGGGGGATGTGTGCAGGACAGATTTGAGCTCAAAACCGAAGCAGCAGAGGCCAAAGATATCCAGACTGTTAGTGCCCAATATGGTTCAAGCTCTAAATTCTCACCTATGTTTCCCATAATGCAACACAACAGCTTATTTCAGGCCTGACATCATGTCCATGTTGGCTAGGTACCAGCTTCAGTAACTCAAGCCCTTTTCAGACATGCACTGGAACCCTGAAATTCTCTAGACTTTACCCGGAGGAGCTGTATGTGAGAACGCAAATGCCGGAGTCCACTGCACCCAGACCTGAACCTGCCAGCTCCCTAGTACAAAGTCCGCATAAGGACCGAGTGAGCCCATGTGAGAATACAGCAGCATATAGTCCAGAGTATTTACACAAAACTAGTGGATATATTGATGACACTCTATCATGCGACCAGCACAAAACCGAAAGAAAGCAATGTAAATATCAAACTGGAGATACAATGTCATTCGGGAACTTCTGTTGTTAAGAATCGATACCAGAATCGTCAAAAGAGGAAAGAGACTCGGGTCTTTATGACCAAATTAGAAACTGGTACATGACTCATGTCTCACCTCCCGTACGCTCTACCTAGGCACACTATGTTCACTTATGCACAGCAGAACTGGTTGAACTTTTCAGTCAGAGAGAGAGAGAAAAGGAGAAAAATGAGGGAGAGAAAGGGGAGACGCCATTAAAACTCCGTTCACTTCACCTATATTGTGATTTAATGCAGCTGAATTCACAATATAGTTGTTTTTATTTGCAAATCCTTTTGTTTCTGTTGCCAGAAAACACTGTGATATTTAATTAAATACAGTGTTGCTCAGCAGTCATTAAGCTGCTGAGCTGCAGATAAAATAGTTCACGTCATCAGACAAAAACAATGTGTTAATGATGTGCTGTAAGATCGGCTATGGTGACATTTACAGTAAAAGTGTGATGAGAGAGAAGGATGGAAGCAACAAAAAGTCATATGCTAGAGCTAATTAATGTGTCTGCTAGAGAACAGCCTCAAAGCTAACTAAAGATAACCCTGATGACATGTTCAGGCCTCTTTTTTGCATTTTGTTTATTTGTTGTCATTTTTTCTTGCAGCACGTGAGTAGCTGGGCTTTTAACGGGATGTGATGGGTACAAGTACAGTAAGTCTGATTTGAATGGATGACAACAAGCCAACAACGTGGCTGCATTTCCTTCTGCTGTGCCCCTCAGTGATGTAATGTTCCCTAATTGATCTCTATGAAGATCCAGCTGTGCAAATGTATTACAGCTGCACGTGTTGCCAGGCTGCAGGAGCGCTCCGCTAATAAATCATGTCACGTCATGTTAATTGTTTCCCAAAACAGTGCGTCTGTGTGCCGGCACACATAACTCTATAAATATGCAATTTTCAGTGAATTACCAAGCAATTATGTTTTTATCATTATCTTTTGTTTCCATAACCTCTGCTAATATGTATATTTCTTTCCATGCGTTTCCCCGGCTGCGTTTGGGCCTGGAAAACTCTAGGGGGTAGGTAACGAAACCCCTTCAACAATTTGCCACAGTTCTTCTCTTGAACGTCACACAACATGAAAATGTCCATTTTAAGCTGCTGCAGTCCTTCATGTGTCAGTAAATTGAGTGTTGAGGTTGGGTTTGCATGCCACAGTGCACTACCAGTGTCCCTAACAAGTAAATACTTCAGAACTTCATAAAGTGCATCTTTTGATTTTTCTTTATGCATGTTTCTATTTTGTTCTATGCTTATTTATTAATTTATTTTTTGTCCTACAGGGGTACACACCTTTACACATTGCAGCGTTACATGGTCATCGGCGTATTCTAGACCTGCTCATAGGGACTTATGGTAAACACTCCTTTCATGTTGGTTGTAGGGACAGCACTGCCATAAATCCACAATAGCAATTTAGTTTAGGATGAAAAGGGCCAATCGGTATTTTTGACTGAAAAATGACCATGTCTGTATATAACCTGTACTTATAACTTGATTTTACGTCATAAAACCTGTCAGTCCATGTAAGAGCTAGAGCTGCTTTCAGCCTCATGTAGATATCTTTATCTTTGGATCACCTGTTAAAGCTTTTAGAGTAAAGTGGCAGTGAAACGGTTACCTGCTGCCTTCCATGAGTAGTCTCTGTGTTCACAGCCTTGTTTTTACTCTCATCAGGGGCTAAAGAAAACTTAAGGGACTACAGCGGCCATCTTGCCTCCCATTATCTGAACATTAAAGAAGAAGAGGGTCCAGAGGAAGATTGCGAGCTACGTGAGTGCCTTATAGTTTTGCTGTTGATTTACAATTTTTTGCAGAATAATAACCATCAATATTATCAATGCTACAAGTAAGGTTTTATATATTAGTTATGATTTATTACTGTTAGTTTTATGTTGTTCCTCTACATTTTCTCCCTGAAATGTGTTGAATTTTGGATAAATGTGCCATTCTGGGGGGCAGTACAGTAGCGGATGTTTCAACTACCTCCAAACGTAGGTATAAGTAAATTGATATTGGATTAGTATTGTTGGATATGTGTGAAATTACATGTGTTGACATATCAACTGTTTTACATGCTTGAATGAATAAATCAAATCAATCAATCAATCAACGTCCACGCTAGTGTTCAGATTGAGCACAGTCAGGACAGAAATCAGTTCATCTGCAGTGTTGGTTATCTGCCAGTAGCTACTAGCTAGTGTTAGCTCCTGAACCAAGAGCTGAGATCAGGGTGCAGAGTCAATGTTCAGCCTGTCGCTCTCATCGATGGGAGGTCCACTATGTGTTAGCTACAGTCAGCTAAGGTTATTCTGATCTACCACAGCAAGTGAAATCTAAAAATTTGAGCAACTTTTTAGCCAAACATAACAAGAACGTATGCAGGTAAATACATCGCCTCCCTCCCAAAATGGCACCCCCGTCCCAACATTCAGCACAGTGTGAAGTACCTTCACGTCCTCTATGTACAGAGCCAAGCTAGCTGTTTTGCCATTTGCAGTGTTTATGCTAAGCTAATTGTCTGTTGGCACATTTTCTATCATTTCTCAAACTCATTCTAACTCCAATATGGCTTATTTCTACAAAACTATTTTGATTAAATTACCTTTGTTGCAAGTGTCTGTCTTCTGCTAAGATGAAAGAAGAACCTCCCAGTTCAGGTTCACTCTCAGAACAGGAAATCTTAACAACTGCTATGTCAAACTTATCAGATCCCAGACAAAATCTTTTCCCCAACGATTCAACTTTAGTTTTGTATGATTGCAGCATTTCAAGTCACTCAGGCCAGAGAGCGGAACAAGAACAGGAAGCTAGCATCGCTGTTCCACTCCAAGACGAAGTGGGGCTCAGCAGAGGAGCTGGCTCCGATAGAGGAGGAGAGGGCCACATCCCATCAGCTCGCCCTTCCTCCGTTCAGACCCAGAAAATTCTCTCGCTGAGGAGAAACACACACTGGGGACAACTTCTGACTCTGCTAACACACTCACTTACACAGTTTCTCTTTACATGGACACACCTAATGTAAGTCTCTATGTACATGCCTCAAAAATGTTAATACTATGTGCCTATTTATTATGTACACACACAGAGATGCTCATACCGCTCCTCCCTGTGCTTACAGACACATTCACACATTTCCTAATGACCCTAAAAGGCTCCTGAACAGATATTTTAACTCTGAATATGACGTTTGACAGGTGATGCTCTGCTTGAAGCCTTTAAATTTTAGAAAATGCTCCTAAATGTTACTTATGTCTTGCATTCGCAAATGAGCTTATGTCACACGTGTTCTTTAAGCCTGCCTTTGTCTGTGACATGTACACAACAAATGCAAACTGACAGGACGGAGCTGGTGATGTTCTACATTGTTGAAAAGATCAAAACCAACAACGCCTTGTCTCTCAGTACCTTCTGATTTACCTAAAGTTCCATGTCTGTGGATTTAAAGATTTTTTAAGTAACAAATTTATGCTTTTATTTATTTAAATAAAAGCTAAATAATTTCTTAAGCAGCAGCAGCATTTTCTTTAGAAAATGTTATTGAAGTGGAAGTAAATATTACATTACACTATTAAGTAAATATTACATGGGGACTACTTTCAGTGGCGGATTTACTGTACATCAACAGGACGGTGTACAGTGTGTAGAATCAACTCAAAATACACTACAGTGTTTGTGTTCCTCTTAATGAAGGAACATGTCGTCCTGTGCAACAGCATGACTCACTGGCGTGTCTTTAATCATTTGTGGACAGTAGTGGAGCTTTGTGATCTTTCGGGTTTGTGTTATATACTGTACATAATACTTGTTATGAGGAAACATTCATTGCTGGGTTTGGTCTTTTCACATGTAGATACAGAATCTTACCAGACTTGTGCTTTAAAGGGTGACACGGGGTTCTGCATGCCATAGCTTGTAAAAACCGGCGCACTGATGCGAACACTTAGATGATGCATTTGTTAATTCAAACATACACTGTCATGTACTGGCTTTTTTTTTTCCTTTTTCTTGATAATTTGACAGAAAAGTTGATCATTCTCAGATATTGGACAATGTCCATGGATGCAGCAGCGAGGAACCCCCTGTAATTTGTCTGCTACTCACTGTGTACCCAGGTATTATTTTAACTTTATCAATTGACTTTTGAACTGACACAATGGGAATCTGCCAAATTCAAAAGGGCTTTTGTAATGTTCCTAATTTTCTTTTGTTATAGAAGATGCTCAGTGTAACTAACTGTTCATGACATGGTGCCATTGTACAAGATTTCATTTTGTAATTCGATCCAAAGAACCAGCCTTCCTTACATCTTCTGCACATTATTTATCTAATGAAGAGATATTGGTATTAAACTTATATCAAACTGTATAGCTGTGCTTTGTGCCGCTCACTGTTTTGCTCCTGCATTGTTCACTTCAAACTCAGTAATAAGTTGTGTGTCGACTCACGTCTCTGGACTGAGTGCCTTTGCTGCTCACACACCAGTTCTCCAACGTGTGATAATGCTTTTTTCCCATTTTATACAATAACCCTAGATTTTAAGCTGCCTTTGATCTTACTTTAACTACCTGACTTTGTGGGCCACAGATGGAGTAAATATGGGTCCCGCTAACTCTCCATACGGCTTTAGACCTTAATTCCTGATTAGCCGAAAAGGGCAGCACTTGCTTTTGGTTCTTGGATATCAGACGACACAGAGGGGAACAGAGGCAAGTGTTTTTGTGCTTCATTCTTAAAGCGGGGATGTTGGGGGGGATAAGAGGGAGTTTTTGTAATAGATACTTATCTTACTGCCCTCAAGCCCTTCAAACAAAGTCCCCCTCTGAAGAGATTATAACCCAGGGAGGGCACATTAACTCTAATCCAATGCTTTGAGGCCTCACACCCCCATACCACCCTCTGCCCCACTTATTTCAGCCCCTCTGTTGGTGGAGGACTATCTTGCATGAGACTACACATGAGGGTTGTGTGTGTGCATGCATGTGTGTGTTTGTGATCGAGTCGGGGGTCTAGTGAGTGTTTCAATAGCACGCCGACTCTAATGAAAAGCATTGAGGGGTGCATACTGCTGTGTAACTGATTCCTCTCTCTGAAGAGATTAGGCGCTACATTGTTGGTTCGGTTGCTCATTTCCATGAGAGCGTAGCCTCCCACCAGCAGCTGCTTGGCTTTGTTATTTTGAGTTGGAAAACACAGAGCCCAGTGTCCCGGGCTTCCTCGTTACTATTGTTTCACAAATAGCCCAAAATGTAGATGTCACGTCACAGATGCCCAATAACCTCATTAGCTGCTTTCTATGAGGCTACGGAGAGAAAATAATGGCTGCATGAACTTCAGTTTGTTCCATTTCACAGCTCTCAGTACCTTTTGTTTCACTGGAAATATAACAGTGTTGATGAGCTTGAGAATGTGTTTTATTTAGAAAACCAATTTGTGGATTTTTCATCTAGTTTTGTTCCTTTGTTTGCTATTATTTGTCACTTTATTACATGGAACTGCCTTGTTTTTGGCTCTACGCATGCAACAGCGAGTTACTGGAACAATGTCAGTGGAGTAAAAAGGCATTCAAAGTAAAAATTTAAAGTATATATAAAGCAGTATACAAATCTGGTAATAAATGGTTCATGATAATTTAACTGGACGTGATGTTTATTCATGCTTTTGTCAGCAACTATAACATATAATAATTAAATATAATGAAATTATTCATAAGTTGTAACTGTAGTACTCTACATAAATACATAAAGTGTCCTCACTGCAGCATTTAAACTAATATATAGATTATACACCATTTATTGGATTGTTCCTGATGAAAGGAGTGCATTCCCTCTTTGCCACCATTACATTCAATTACCACATATTATTGTAGGAGGTCAAAGGTCAGAGTGTTTATTTGTCATATGCACAGTTAGGAAGCGTGTTTCCCTGTACAATGAAATTCTTACTTCATCCACATGAATGTCACACAATACAAGTGAAATATAAAATGAAATGAAATAAAGTAAATGAGCAATAACACAATTCTAAACAGGCAGTAAAATCACAAATCTAAGGTTAAAGCAGCAAGTGAAGGGAGCAAATAAAAACAACAACAACAAGAACACAATATAATGTAGAGAGAATGTATGCTACGTGGGAATCGCACAGTGTAAATACTCAGCAGGGAGTGTGCAATTATGCATGTGCAAGACGAGTATGTAAACAGTACAGCTGGAATCACATGAGGTAGATCCTCAGTCAGCTGTTTAGGAGTCGGATGGCAGAGGGAAAGAAAGAGTTTTTCAGCCTAAAAGTCCTGCATTTCACACTTCTGAGCCTCCGACCGGAGGGTAGGGAGGTGAACAGTCTGTGCTGGGGGTGGGTGGGGTCTTTGAGAATGGAGGCAGCCTTTCTACACACCCTGCGGTGGTAAATGCTCTGCAGAGAGGGCAGCGGAGTCCTGGTGATCTTCTTCACGGTCTTTACCACTCTCTGCAGGCGCTTGCGGTCCATAGCAGTAGTGCTGTCGTACCAGACAGTGATGCAGCTGTAGAAGTTGTAAAGGATCCTAGGCGACATGCCAAACCTCCTCAGCCTCCTCAGGAAGTGCAGCCGTCGTTGGGCCTTCTTGACCAGCTGTGTGGTGTTAAGTGTCCAAGTGAGGTCCTCACTGATGTGGACGCCCAGGGATTTGAAGTGTAATTACACTATCGGTCACATTTGACTGATAGTATAAATAACCCATATGTCAACAGAGAAAAATGGCACACAAGAAACTCAGATAAAGACAGAGTGCAATGAGATGACAGTAATAAGGTCAGCTCTGAACTGTATTCGGGCGGCACATGGAAGAATCGTTCTTTCATTGTGTGGATGCTGAGTAACACAAAAACTAAGTCAGACGATGAGGCATAATTAATGGGCGGTGATCGGACCCCATTTTAACCACATGCTATATAAGGCACATTTTCCAGGAGAGGCTCCGTGTTGCCACCGTTCTGTTTTCAGGAGGCTCCTTATTTCAGGCTTCACTTAGCCACAGAGTCGCAATGTTTTGATTAATTACTGGCTTTTTTACTCGTGTGACTCCTGAAACCAGCAAGCTGGAGACACTGATATATATATAATATATAGACATATTGCTGTTAATTCTGGGGCAATCAGCATCTTCTTCAGGAAATGCATTTGTCAGGTGAAAGCTTATCATTCTTGATAAAGTCCCATTTTGCTCCTCTTTGACCCTACAGCAGCAGCCTGAGCAGGAAAATGGGGACTCCTCTATTTTTATGCTCTACAGACAGTATGTGCACAGGAAACATACAACTGAGGTTGAAAACAGACTCCAACAATAGACCAATATTAACAGGGCAAAAGAAAACAACTAATTCAGGAGGAAAATGCCTGTTAAGTCTATTTACACATCACAAATTTCCTCGCGGAGCTTTACAATCTGCACAGCTAACGACACCTCTGACCTTAGACCAGTGCTTTGGATAAGTAACAACTCTAAGGAAGAGCAACACAGGAGAGGTTCCCTTCCAGGACAAACAGACATGCATGGGAAGTCGTGCACAGAATAGTTAAAACACAATATGGAAAATCTTGAAAGAATTATTTTAAAGTTAGTTCAGGATTTTAAATTTGAAAAAACAGCCCTTCTTTACTCCCAGGGGTGGCAGGGTCCCGAGCAGGGAAAAAACAGCATAAGTGCCAAGAAACTCACAGCTGAGGTGAAGAAACAGGCTGCAGCAGCCAGCCAGCAAGCTGGTCAACAAGAACAAACACAGCGGGAAGCCACTTCGACCGAGCCCCAGCAAACTGGGTCAGCTCTGGCTGAGGGATCCTGGAGACCCAGCACCCACCCACCAGCGCCCAACACGTGGAGACACCAGCTGTCACACAGGCCATCAGGGCCTAACCAACGCCTGCCTGTCACTCACCCAGTGGAGGGCCATCAATGAGGCTGCACCCAGGAGGGAGCTGGGAGGCGGGCCACTGCCCGGCCCTAAACAAAGACATACTTAAATTTGCAAGCGGTTTCAGCGCAACCACTATTTTGAAAGAATGAGAGAATTGTCCTGATAAGAGTAATGACAAAAGATGAGGAGTAGAGGGGGGGTCTGGGAAGAGGGGGCCGGATAGTAAAGAGGTGGGAGAGCTTGATAAGATTCACGCTCTGCTTACATCTCTCCATTTGTGTCTGTGCCCCAGGAAAAATCCCATTAGGGAGGAGAACTGCAGCTCTGGTTGAGGACCATCATACATTTGTTGTCAACTGACTCTCTCTGATTTGTAATATGTGAATTCTCCTTCTTAAATTTCTACTTTCACATTTTCATTGTTGGGATTTTGATATCTGGTTCTACTTAAATACAAAACATATTTGGTTTTATCTTTCCATCTAGCTTTGTATTACATCCCAGACATTTACACAATATACTTAAAACACAAAGCTTTTCCCTATTTCTCAGAGTTTCTTCCCTCTCAGTATCGAGTGCAGTAAAAATAAACTAACAAGCAATGGGTGTCAAAGACTCTGTGGATTCTCTTTAGGCCTTTTGTTGTCCTGTTCACACCTACCTATGAGCCATTCTAAATCCATGTGTAGTCTCCTTGTCAGCTGGCAGGTAGAGGCCAGCTGAGGTCAGACCTGAGCTGATTGTCTCGACTTGCTCGTCAGCCCCTTCCACTGTCATTCTGCGTTTTAGCCCAAACCAGGCCTTAATCTGTTTAGTGAGTCACACTGTGGAATATGCAGCGGATTTGTAGATAAGGGAGAGCAGAAAGAGTTGTTTCAATACAGAGGGGATGGCTGTTATCAGAGATCTTTGCTATCTCTTTGGGTGCTGAGGACAGTCGTTCTCCATTTGGTCACTTTTCTCTCCTGTAAACAGCTAACATCCTAACAGCAAACAGCGTCAACCTGTCAGAGCAGGACCGACACCTGCATTGTGCCGGAGCTGCCGAAAGAGGAAAAGAATGAAAATGAGTTCTCCTGGAGCAACAAAAGCTGCTGCCCTGAGCTGTTTGTGTTGGGAGATGTAGCCTTCTCCTCTTAGTGCTTTAGTCAGCCCATTGTTGCTCCTGTACAAATTTGCTTTAGGCTCTGTGGACCCCACCCTAATAAATTCCTCCTTTCCCTCCACCTTTACCACTGTTTATCTGTTAGTAGTCCCACGCCTCTCTCTCCCTCACATTCACAGAACGAGGAGCATGTTACTGCGCAGCCACGCTAAGAGAAACAAAACAAAGCAAAGTAGGGCTGCGACTAATATTTGCCATCATATTTGCATACAGATACTTTAAGTTGCATGAATTCACCTTGTGTGTATTTCACAGCAGCTCCACAGACAACGCCCCTCAAAATGAGCAGACGGTCGAATCAACACCCAGTTTCAACTACAACAAAACATTAACACCCAAATGAAGCTGTATTATGTATTAACTGCTTTAGTTTCAGGTGGTGTTGCTAATGAACCGTTAACTGAGCTTAAGCTCTTAAGCACAACATTTGCTCCAATAAGAGAATCAGTACATTTACGTTTCCTGTTATTCTGTGAACTCAGTTTATCTTTAGTTGTTTCAAAACCAGTGTTTCTGCTATAAAGTCACCTGTATGCACACAATCAAATCCCCACACACAGTTTTTTTGTGAGTGTGTGTAAAATACACTGCCCAGTCACTTTATTAGGGACACCTGTGCAATTGTATGCACTTGACATCTGTGTTTATGAAGTTCACAATGTTTCAGTTTTTGGTGAAATTGTCATAAATGTACACGTTCCATTATATAAGTTCATAGTTAAAGGTGTTTTTGAACTGGACTACAACTTATTCAGGTGTTCCTAAAGCTGGGGAGGGCAAAAATATAGAGACACCTCTGAATATGTTGCATTCAAGTACAAACAATTGTACAGGTGTACCTAATATAGTGGCCGGTGAGTGTATTAGGCCTAAACAAACATAATTCACTTGTACATGCAGATGTTATTAGAAACACTAAGGTGCATTTAAATGTCTTAAAAATAATGAACAAACTGTAAGAGACAGTGAAGTTAAATCAGGCTGGTGCCATCAGATCATCTTTGACATGAGCAGATATTAAAGGAGTTTACCAAACGTAAATGGAAAACATAGCTTATCCAGGCTTCAACTAAAAGGTGGCATAGAATAAATAAAAGCAGTAGAGCACAGCCCGCGGAGTCTGCGTTTTGGGTTTGGAAAAAACAAGTCAAATGTTCTTAAACTGGATCAAGAATAAGGTCATGAACTTGTAATAAGACAGCAGTAAGTAGAATTTCAGGAACCTTGTGACACATATTCAGATGTCTCCCCACCAACACTACACATCTTAAGTGTTAACATAACAATCTAAGTTACTGAAGATACGCAAACACTGAGCTTTACTGTGGCTCTTCTGGAGGACACGAAGGGCCACAGAAGTGCAATATTGTGCTCTTATCTCTAGCAACCCCCTCCACACACACACACACACACACACACATTAGCATTTGTTATCTCACAATTATCATAGACATTAGTCAGCACCTGTTTCACTTAACCTCATTTAATTAGGGCCATTGAAACACTGGCTTCATTCAAAACGATGCCATCCGACGAGTAAAAGGTTTGTTGTGGTTCAGTCAATAAATTAACAAATCAAAAAGGAAAGACTCCTTGACGTGTGAGGCTGAATGACAACTGTTAGAAATCTTTATTCCGATTCTCAATTGTTTGATAAAAGACTTACAAACACTAACATCACTAACACTGCTGCGTAAAGACGTCATGCTTTGTACATTAGGATCATTTTGTGCTACCGAGACGGTTAATTCAATTCCCCAGCTCCAGATGTGTGGGTGATGAGGTGTCACAGGCGACAGTAGACACTGGCAGGATGTTGTCAACTGAACCCAGCTCGTTTCTATCCTCTCCGCTGATTAGTGCTTCTGCGTGAGAAGTGTTAAATTCGTCCCTTAGAAAAATCATATCAGCACTCTAACCAAACCAAACTATTTAAGAAATTACAATGGAAAACATGTCGCTCCAAAGTAGATCTGACGTTATTATATTTGAAAAGGTTTTGCCTGTTACTATAAGTGTTTCAATGCAAAAGTCTGCTCTGATCAGAATGAACGAATTTAATAATGATCCGAACCAAAATACTAATTATTAAGCCAAAAACATGAGATGTGCGCTACTGACTTTTTATTCACATGCACCGAACTGCAGTTCTCCAGAAATCAGTATGCTGCGTTAAGCAGCTCATATCTAGCCTCTCCACGAAAGCGTTAAAAGGAACAGCAGAGGGCTTCTTTGATGGGATTTGCTGCCAGTAAAAGCTGTAGGTCTTTTGAACATAGCTGACAGTCAATACCGGAGGGACCTCCTCGCCCCTCCCCATTCCGCACACACATGCTGGCAGCCGGGTGAGTATAAATAGAACCAGGAGTTTATCCTGCCACTCAAACTCGAATAGCTGGGACGTAGGAAAGATGCCCGCATCACAAACTGGATTTGGCCATTTGTTCTTGGAGAGGAGCATCAGCATGCCGACTGGATATCAGATCCCGGTGATGGGATGCCCACCGAGGGTGCAACAGCAGCAGCATCTGACTGCGATGGCAGCTGGGGTCCCCATGGCATACTCAGGACTACAGGGATACAGCTTTATCCCCTACCCACACCACAGACACATCGCACACATGGTAAGTTTATAATTCACTGGCATTTACTCATTACACAGAAAGCTCCGCTGCTTCATGGCTAATCATTGCAACCTTCTTTTTGCAATGTGTAATCTGTTTCTGATTTCGAGTTGTTGAACAATATTAGCTTGTGGAAGAGGCATCTCTTACTGACATTGTGTTAAAGTCTACAATGAAACTTTTCGAACTAATGAAAAATGTTCAGGACGGTTTCATCTTCATTAGGTCTATAAATCACTCAGCGCACAAGCAAACTTTGGTTTGTTCTCACTTTTACTTTCTTTATTTCTCAGAACGGACTTGACTTGAAAGCTGCCTCCCCCTACCATCACGCGCTCCTGGCTCGCGGGGGGGCTTTCTACCCGCCCTACCGTTTGGGAGCAGCCCAGGATCCCGGTAGGGCCGCAAAGGTGGCCACACGAGAGAGCACCGGGCCGCTCAAGGCATGGCTCAACGAGCACCTGAAGAACCCCTATCCGACCAAGGGCGAGAAAATCATGCTCGCCATCATCACCAAAATGAGCCTCACGCAGGTCTCCACCTGGTTCGCCAACGCAAGGCGCCGCCTGAAGAAGGAGAACAAAGTCAGCTGGGCATCTAAAGGGAAATCGGATGAAGAGGACGAGGAGCAGGAGGGAGGAGGTGACGAAGACGAGGGTCCCATACGGAAATGTCATTTGGATGAGCGGGATGAGGCTGACCGCGCAGACACGGAACGCGTGCAGAGCGCGCTACAAAGCTCAGCGCCTGTGGATGCGCGCCTGGAGCTGCCAAAGCAGCCGAGCCGCGAGCACGGAGACAGAGAGCATGCACTTGTCAAGAAAGTTGAAAAGAGTGACTCTTATCTCACGCCGTCCGCGTCGGAAAGTAAAGAAAGCACCTCCAGTCCAAAACCAAAGATCTGGTCTTTGGCAGAAACCGCCACCTCAGAGACTGTGAAGACATCTCTGGACAATACTTATCACCCCGCCGGGAGACTGTGGGCTGCCTGGGCTTCAGGAAACGGACAGCTGCTTCCCTCGTGTTATACCATGCACGAAATAGTCTAAGCGGCTTTTAGACACGAACCAGATACATTTTCCACATCTAGTGCACTTTAAATGTTCAAACCTCAGGGTCCCATCGTTAATTCCTGAATTTTGCAATGAAATGAAATGTGCTTTGAGACCAAAGACTAAATATAAATGTAGAGGTATTTTTCCATCGTCACTCTGTAAATTATGCTCCTTTTGTCTAATCATGAAGAAATATTTTTGCTTAAATAAAGTTCAGCTTCTAGTGAAAGTCTGACACGTTTTACTGCTTTGTAATTCACTTTAACACAACACAGGGAAAAGCAAGCATTTTTCCTTCTGAGCAAGTAACGTTACATCAAGAGTGCGTGATAAGAAGAGGATTTAAATTTGAATATTAATTAAAGTTATTATGTAGGACAACAGTGACAATTCAGTTTATCTATGCAAACTGAATGAGTACAAAAGGAAGTACTTGTCTTAATTTGCATATCAAGTTCAAAAGAGGAATCCTCCCAAACAGGTTTATATAATCCGACAGCAAACTATGAATTTTAGGCCTCATTTAAAAACAATTTGATTCTTAAATGCCCATGTGATGGCAAAACGAATGCTAAGGCTTGTAACCGTTTTCACCACATGTCCTGTCTTTTAAGATTAGACAGCAGCAGCAGCAGAACACAGATATGTTACTGTGTGTGCTTGGCAGGGGGTTACTCTAGCTATCAGTCCACAGGTTTCCATGTAAATTGAAAGGGGTGTAGCCTACCTCCACTGGCACTGATCCAGGGACAGTAAGGGAGCCTCTGGGAGCAGCAGGCCTGGAATGCAGCTGTTCTCTGGCTTCAGCTCTCCAAGAGAAGCCCTGCAGGAACACAGCGGGCAGGGCTTCTTATCCAAGAATCTTCAAATGTTAAGTTGCTTAGAATGATTTATAAAACCAGTCTGTTACACTTGCTGCTTAATGACACTTTTCTAGTTATACTTCCACTTTACAATAGTCTACTGTATCTACCCGTAGGGCTCTGAGACGCAAAGACCTGAGCAAACCAGCAGTCTACGGCGAACCTGTAGCGCCCCCCTGAGGAAACCAAGGGTAACTACAGCAGGGTTCATGATAATAGACTGCCAGCTCTCTGACAGCTGTGGAGGTGGTTACAGGTTAGAGCAGCCTACCTGAAAAACTGAGTCCCACTGTGCCATAAAAACACGGGGTTGCTCTTCTTGGAGCCGTATATGAGTTAAATCAGAACACTTACATTTACATTCCTTTCCCAGCGTCGAGTGCACACATCCGTCAACACTATGACAAATGAATGTTCAGCAGACCTGCATGACTTGCCTGAGAATCTTTTTTGTCTTCCGCACACGTCCAATACAAACAAGCACCACTTGTAACTTTTAATGGTGCAGTTTCCAAAATGGAAACAAAATAAAGGAGCTCAAGTTGGAGCCCACAGCATAGCTCTCTGGATCCACGCCACCACTGAACGTCCTGTTTGCATCCCCCAAAGCTTTATGAGAATTATCTCAGTTTTGAAGTGAAACCCTTGATTTAGATAGACACACAACTCAAAGTTTAACATTCAAGTGCATTACGTTTTTAATGCTAGAGCGAAGCATGCAGCACAGTTACAGCAGCGACACACTTATGCACCACTTCTAAATAAAAACAGAAATACAGTGAGAACAGCCCATAATTAAAAAATACTGACATAAAAGGAATGTGATGAATGTGATGCCGGGCTTCTAATAATGATGCACTACAATGTAACTGGCTAGCACATGATTTCAATTTTTTACATTTTAATAGCAAATGTACACATTAGGAGAATTACATGCAAGTGAAATATGTGACAACACAACAGGACGAAGACCTTGATGGTTGTTTCAGTCTATAAATGTCTGAGGGTGTGATTCCTGTCGGGAGAGGACAACTGATTTGCCTTTCTCCTGGGTCACAAAGTTTCCATTTTCAGTCAGAAAACCCTGTGTGGGCTCATCATCGTTTTCCTCTGGCATGCTCGAAGCAGCCTCTTCTTGTAAGGCCACCACCTCAACCAGCAAAGACTGGTCTTTCTCAGGAGTCACGATGAGGGTCACAGGGGGATCTCTCAGCATCTCCCTCTGTTCTCCGCAGCAGGACTGGACACAAGCCTGCAAACACAAAGCAATGCCAAAATGAAGAAAGAAACTAAAATATAAAACATTACAGTTTCAAGTGTAAGGTTGTTACAAACAGGTTGGTTTTAATACAAAATAAATGAACAAGATAAAATGTTGATTAATGAGCATTTTGTTCATTAAATTGTTCAACGAGCATTAAAGAGCAGGCAGGAGCCAAAGCCAGGCTAGCCGTTCCCCTAAGCTTATCTGGTTATACAGTAGCTTCATACATCTGTGTTTCACATACAGATTCATTGATCTTACAATCTACTGTAACTTGCAAGAAGCTAAATAAACATATTTCCCAAAATACCAAACTATTCCTCAAAGTGGGCAGAGCAAAAAGACACTAAACAGGAAAGTAAAATGATTTTAGGAACCTCATCCTGTCATACACTGGCAATAAATTGCACATGTACAACTTCCAACATAGTCATTCGCATTAAATAGTCTTTTCTCTTTGAATGTTAACATCAATTGCAATAACTTGCACTGTTACTCAGTTACTAGGAACATATTATGCATGAGAGATTAAAGTACCAATAAAGGAAATCACATTTACCTTTAAATCTCTACCTCCTGAAAAGGAAGAAAAGACAGAACATGAGTACAGTGGAATATTGAAACGTTAACTCGTTGCGTTATGTGAGTGGATATTCAGGGCACAGCATACCTCTGTGTAGGCGATACATAAGTACAGCTACAAGTAGAATCATCAGAATAGCCACAACAATGACCATAATTATTATGTGAGTCCGTGAGGATTTCTCTGTAAGACAAGAATAAAAAAATTAAAAACAAAATCAATCACATATTTGATCCTTCCAGTGGTGTATAACATACCTTCACAGTTTAACATCTCTAATAAACAGACTTTATTTAGACCCTCTGAAGAATAAGGAACATGACCTCACCAGGAACAAATCTAAATATTAGTGTGCGAATGAATAAACCAACAAAAGGCTAAGCAGGTTTTAAGGGACTCAAGGCAACAGTTTCAGTTTCTCTCTGTATGAAATTGATCACTACTTGAGAAACGTCCACATAAACACAAATCCTGGTTTCTTTATCATGTTAGGGAGGGGCGACAGCGCGGTGGGTAGAACAGTCGTTTCCCAACCAGAAGGTTGAAGGTTCGAATCTCGGTGCCTCCAGTCCACATGTCAAAGTGTCCTTGGGTGAGACACTGACCCCCCAAGTTGCCCCCGATGGTTAGAGCCATTGGTTGAGTTGGCGCCGCAGATGGAAACAAATTCCTTGTGTGTAACATACTTGGCCAAATAAAGGTGATTAGATGATATTATATGATTAGAATACCCATTAAGGGGTATCCAGCCTGCGGTGAAGCACCACATAAAAGCTACACACACTTTACCTATTTAGATTTGGTGAAGTACAAATATCGCACTTCATTTTTAAGGATAATAAGGATAATCACCTTTATTGGCCAAGTATGTTACACACAAGGAATTTGTTTCCGGTACAGAACTGAGGCAGCCATCTGCGGCGCCAACTCAACTGAAGGTTTGTAACCTGGAGCACTTTTTTATTTTGAGATTGGTTTGGGAGAGAAAGGCAGAAAATGTAAAACCTAATTAATACAATTTAATTTTTCCATTAACAAAAATGTCTGTGTATCCTGTCAATTACACGTCTTAGAAAGAAAGAAAATAGAAACTGGACAAAACTGGAATCGGCAGGTCAGACAAAAAAAAAAATAAATAAAAATCAGAATCGGCCAAGCCAATTTGAATCAGTGCATCGAAGACTGGAAATGAGAAGCAGCTTGCCGCGCACTGCTGAAGGGTTTAAATGAAACAAGCTCAGATAACGCAAACAAAAATAAATCTGCATTTCAGCAGAGGAAGACAAAATAAGAGGCTGTGGAGAGAAGGGGAGGATTTCTTCTGCAGTAGTCTAAAACAAATGTGCTCTAGGTGTAGGTGTGTAGGTGAAAGTTGTCAATCCCACACTCAAAACCGCAGAAAATACTAATTTACACACACAGTGTACAGCCTTATCACCACAATCGTTTTGCTTCAACTGAGACGCCACCTCTAACCACACGGCTGCAGCGGAGCACAGTGACAAAGCTTTACAAGTTCTCAGCCTTCAGAGAACTCACCACAAATGTTGTCAGATACGGCTGTTCCACTGCGCTGAATATGGTGTCCGTCCTCACACCTGCAAAGAATTTAAAAGAGTGTTAAAAGCGAATTCCTGGTTTCTCATGTGACCAGAAGACTGAAGACAGAAGTGATTATTTCTCTTGAAATGTCCAAAAAACAACCAGTCCTAGTGCTAATGTAATGTTAAATTAATACAATTGTAACACATCTTTTTAGGTCCCACAGATTGTGACAAATTAAAGAAAAGCCAAAATACAGTTATAAGGATTTAGGCCATTACAAGCCGCCCCGGCTTCCACAGTCCTTGGCAAATATTCTACAAGGGATCAAACACCATTCATTCCAAAGATATTCCCTCGTTTTGTGTTTCAGTGAACATGTCACTAGAAAATCTCCAATATTTGTTCAGTTTGGTTGAGACAAAGTGATAGTAAGAGCCATATCAGCCATAGGAAATGTGTTGTTTTCACACTCATCACACCACCAACTGACTTCCTGTGGTCTGGGGAGGGGGATTAGCACCACCAAAAGAGACACAAGCTGCCCCGGTACCAACAAATAATCATGTCTGGGTGGTTGCATATAATCAATAGTCATAATCAGTTTTGTAATATCAGTTCTAATCATAGAACAAACTACATACAAGTTGAAACTAAAGGCACGAAGTTTGATACCCCCCTTACTCTTGTCATTTCCTGTCCTTTACTTCTCCTCCCAGGGCGCAGCCATCATGGTGGCCGCCCACAGTGTTCAGAGAAAGTCTGCGACTGCTCTCTTGTTCTTTGATCGGGGGCGACATTCATGCCCTGAAGAAAAACCTTTTTCCATTATAGGAACCTGCTGAAATGTGTCGTGCCAAAAAACACTGTATGTTTTTGTTTATTATTATTAGTTTATATTTGTATCAGTAGTTTATATATTTATTATAAGCATGCAATTCACTGCTGTGAGCTGGTGAGAGAGCATTTTGTTTTTTCTGTGTATGTAAGTACTCAGGGGAAATGACAATAAAGTGAATCTTGATTGGTCAAATGTTGGTGTGATGACGGACATTTAACCAGCTATGTGCCTGTAATTACACAGCTGACTGCATGAGAGGGGAGCAGCCCCTCCCTCCTCTAAACAGAGACCGACAGAGAGAAAATGTAGTGGAAAAACAAAGCAAGACAGTCTGTGTCAACCGGGGAGGCCATGCTAGGTGACGGTTTAGGGAAGTGCGGGGTGTACTGCTCTTTATGTTTCGATAGTGGAAATGCAGCATAATATGATATCATACATATGAGCCACCTCAGGTCAGCAGTGCACACAACCGATGTAGGCTATGTGCAGACTGTGCAGTGTTCTGACTGACTTTACCTTCTGCTGATAATGCCTGTAATTATTATGATTATAACTCTTACTATTTTTTAGGTCATGTACATTTTATCATTGTATTTAAACCTATTTTTGTTATTTGGACGATCAGGGGCAGCACAACAAGCTGGCACACTAACATGTGAATCAGGGAAGTACCGGCACTTCCCCCCTACTTCAAGCACTGGTCTGTATTGAAGCATGCATTATCTTTCGCATTTATTCCAGTTTTCCCTCTAGTTTGTCACTGCTTTTTGTTCGGTGAGTAGTTTGCTTTTTGCATGCCACATTACATAAAAAACAGAGAAAGTTAGCTTCTGAGTTGTTCTGAATTTCTTCAGAAGTGACAATACAAAAAAAAGTATGTGAACCTTTTAGAATTTCATGGTTTTCTGCATTAATTTGTCATAAAATGTGATCTGATCTTCATCTAAGTCAAGAGTATTGACAATTATAATGTGCCTAATATAACAACACAAAAAAATTCTGATCTTTCATGTCTTTATTGAGAACAACCATAAAAACCTCACAGTGCTAGTGGAAAAAGTATGTGAACTCGAGTTAATGACCTCAAAAAGCTAATTGGAGTCAGGTGTTAGCATACCTGGAGTCTTGTTAAGAAAATGAGTTTGGAGGTTGGACTAGAACTTGGACTGATAAAAACCACTCAAACCTTTTGAGTTTGCTCCATACAAAAAGAATATGTTTATGTGAGTCATGCTTTGCCAAAAAGAGCTTTCAGAAGATCTACAGTCAAGAATTGTTGATTTACATAAGGCTGGAAAGGGTTATGATTTCAAAGACTTTTGAAATTCACCAGTCTAAAGTTAGACAAATGATCTACAAATGGAGACACTTTGGGACTGTGGCTACTCTACCAAGAAGTGGGCGCCCAGTAAAAATGACCCCAAGAGCACAACGAAGACTCATCAATGAGGTAAAGAAACAACCTCGAGTGACAGCCAAAGATTTGAAGGCATCATTGGAACTGGATAACATCTATGTTCATGAGTCTACAGTACGTAAAACATTGAACAAGCAGGGTGTCTATGGCAGGACACCATGAAGGAAGCCGCTGCTTACTAAAACTAACATTGCTGCATGGCTGAAGTTTGTGAAAGAGCACACTGACAATCCACAGTGTTACTGGTAAAATGTTTTGTGGACTGATGAAACTAAGACTGAACTATTTGGAAAGAACATGCAGCACTACATCTGGTGTAAAAAGGGCACTGCATATCATCATGAAAACATCATCCCAACCATAAAGTGTGGTGGAGGAAACATCATGATTTGGGCCTGCTTTGCTGCATCAGGGCCTGGCCAGCTTACAATCACTGAGGGGAAGATGAATTCCCAAGTGTATCAAAAAATTCTTCTGTCTGTACATCACTGCTACATTGGGGCGGCTGTGGCTTAGGAGGTAGAGCAGGTCGTTTCCTAACCAGAGGATTAGCGGTTCAATTCCCGGCTTGTGCAGTCAACATGTCAAAGTGTCCTTGAGCAAGACACTGAACCCCCAGTTGATCCCGGTGATGACACCGGTGTGTGAGTGTTTGGGAGTGCGAATGGGTGTGTGAAAGTGCTTTGAGTGTGCTGTAAAGCATAGAAAGGCGCTATACAAATATAAGACCATTTACCATCAGCTGAAACTCTGTAGAAGTTTGGTGATGCAACAGGACAATGACCCAAACCACCAGAGCAAGTCCACAACAGAATGACTTCAGAAAAACTAAATCTGCCTTTTGGAGAGTCAGAGCCCAGACCTCAACCCAATAGAGATGCTATGGAATGATTTGAAGAGAGTCATACGCATGAGATGTCCACCCAACCATGTAAACCCAACCATATTCAGAGTAAAAGAAAAAACTTGAGGGAGCCCATAACAAGACAAAACCAAAACAGGAGAAACAACTTTCATGTCTATGTATATATATATCTCTGAAACTGCCTGGAAGAACAAGTAGGCAGCTAAGTAAGAAAGGCTTGTTTGCCAAAGCTAAAACAGTAAAGAACGATCATAGTTGCAAGATTTTGGAGTTCCTATACTTACACTGTCCATTTCTGACAGATGCTGTTCCACGAGGTCCCATTGGAAAATGTGCCTAAGGGGCATTTCTGGCACACTGTGTCATGTGTGTGATTGCCTGAAAGCCAAGTCAAAAACTATTTATCACACTGCAAAAACAAAGCTGGTCATACCTTATATTCAGCGTAAAATAATGTTTCACCACATCAAAAAGAAGCATCTTACCTATGGACTGAGCCCCAGTTCCTGGTGTGCAGGTCGTGTGCGCCACACAGGTTAAACAGGCCTGAGAGGAGCAGTGGAATCCCAGCTTACACATGCAGGTGTGGCGTACCGTCTTGCTCTTATGGACAGGAACCTCAAAGTTTTTATCTGAACAAAGAAAGGAACAAGCTGTAAGCTGTCTGTCACTGCCCATATTGGAACAGTTTTGTATAATTTGCCACAAGGTCTTACTAGGGTCACAGTACTGCTGGCGAGGACACACAGGTTCAGTTGTGTAGTCTTCCTGATATTCGTTCTCCCTACATTCTTTGCACTGAGGCTCCAAACAAGTTCCGGTCAGTGACATACTGGTCCCTGCAAAACAGTGTCTAATGGTAAGAATAAATGCAGCACTGTGTAGTCTATCATTTTTCTCAAGTATATGTAGCAAATGGTGACCTGTGGCTTAAAGGAATAGTTCAACATTTTGGGGGAAAAAAACATTTTTCTTTTCAAAGTATGACGAGAAGATCGATACCACTCTAATATACAAAGCTACTGGCATCAGATGGTTAGCTTAGCATAGCATCCAGGAAGCAGAGGGAAACGTATTCTCATTCCCAGTGCATCAAATACTGATGTTTTGTTAAGTACCTTTTGTGTCTCATACTGATGCTAAAGGGTGCCTATAAGAGGCTCTGAATTTTTCATTACATCACTGTGTTTGCCTACTTCTGTTTGCACACAAAAACCACGTGATTACATTTAGCCACAAAAATGAAGTGGTTATGGTTGGGCACAAAAACAAACTGGTTATTATTAGGAAGCAAAATCGTGGCTTGGATTAGAACACTTTTAAAAACACACTGATTAAAAACTCTTCACTCTTCATTACACGCTGGACTGGAACATGAAGTAACTTTGTGACCTGCTGAATCTGTGGAATAACAAACTGTAGCTTTTGGTCAGTAAAACCAGTCACAATTCTTTTGTGAAAAAAACATTTTTCTTTTCAAAGTCTGACGAGAAGATCGATACCACTCTAATATACAAAGCTACTGGCATCAGATGGTTAGCTTAGCATAGCATCCAGGAAGCAGAGGGAAACGTATTCTCATTCCCAGTGCATCAAATACTGATGTTTTGTTAAGTACCTTTTGTGTCTCATACTGATGCTAAAGGGTGCCTATAAGAGGCTCTGAATTTTTCATTACATCACTGTGTTTGCCTACTTCTGTTTGCACACAAAAACCACGTGATTACATTTAGCCACAAAAATGAAGTGGTTATGGTTGGGCACAAAAACAAACTGGTTATTATTAGGAAGCAAAATCGTGGCTTGGATTAGAACACTTTTAAAAACACACTGATTAAAAACTCTTCATTACACACTGGACTGGAACATGAAGTAACTTTGTGACCTGCTGAATCTGTGGAATAACAAACTGTAGCTTTTGGTCAGTAAAACCAGTCACAATTCTTTTGTTCAGGAGTTGAATTAGCTGCTTGTTGTGTATCACTACTGTCGAGTAGCCCCTGTCTACCATTCAGTAACAGTCTGCCATCTGGCGTTAGTGCTTCTCTGGAAGAAACAGCTTCCAACCAAATTCAGCCACAATCTGGAGAATCACGCAAAACAAAACAAAGATGTAACACTATTGTTCCTTTCAGTCAGATATCCTACCTCTCAAGATGAACCCACTGAAAAGGATTTTAGCACAAATGTGATTGAGTCCAGCTTCTGTAACTTCTGATTTCATTTATTCACTGTGTAAATAAATAAACACCTGGGAGAGATGGGAACACGTGTAACCATGGTTCATCAACTCATCTTGTTGCTACCTGGGTGTAGTGTCAAATTTAACATAAAGTTCTTTGATTCACAGTGATCTAACCTAACTCCTCTAACACTCAGAAGACAGTAAATAAGTCAAGTGTATATCTAAAAACTATTCTTTTAAAATGCTGCATACCATAGGACAAAAGTGAAAGAGAATCCAAGGAAAGATTAGTAGGTAAAGTGCTGATGCTGCTCGAGAAAGATCTTTGTCTTCCACATACATTTAATATTTATCTAACCTGCAGCTACTGGAGGACTACATTCAGCACCACTTGTTCATATTTTTCTCTTCTGAGCTCGTTTCCTACATTTATAGTAAGTGAATGAGACCCAACCCCTCAACAAATAGTGGGCCTGCCAATCCAGCAGGGGCATAATCAAAGAAACATGTTGGTAGATCTTTGTTTTTCATAATACAACAAATGTGTTTACATACCTGGACCACACTTTTTGCAGCAAAGCCCATGCAGCTCATACTGAGTTAGTGGGTCACACTGGGGCTGAGCAGTGGTCATCACCTGCACAGCAACACACAGTTTGTTACTACTGAGAACTACTTGACATGACAGTTGGCTCACTTCCTCAGACCGCCGGAAAGCACCTAACATCCAAGAACCTGCTATTTACGAAACTCGGTGACAGGTGCATCCTCTGCTTGACGTTTTTGCTAATAATATCATTCATTTACAACAGATTCTTGTGTTTTACCGCAAACTGATGTCTCCTTACTGGTGAAAACGAAAGTGAAAGTGCAGTAATTTTAATGCGTTATAGGGTGTAGCCCTGCAATAACAGAGCAGAACCTCTGGACAAAGCGTCCGAATAAAAGACGGGTTGAATAAAGGTGAAAGAGTCCAAATGAGACAAAGACTCAACTAAAAGCCCAAAAGCGACGATAAGTTATAACCGGACCTATTTTCAGTTATCGCCAACCAAAAAAATCAATCCTCTTTTACAACGAAATGCACGAATCAACATACTCACCACAAGAGCCCACATCATTATTATCATCATCGGTAATAAATGCATCTTGGTGAAACGAGTTGTAAACGGCGGAACAGCCGTGCGCTCCCGTCGCAGCTCCCCAAGCTCTACCGTGGTTCTGCCGTCGCTCTGCCCATTTGGTCAGCCTGAGACGCAGGAGGGAGGAGCGCTGAGCCAGGGGTATTTCCCTTGGACGTTGAAAGGAAGCGATTTCCTGTAAATTCATGAACAGTGTAGTAGCTGTCACGGTGATCCCAAAAATACCCAGTTGTAATATGCAGGCTACTCTTCACAGTCTCGACCACAACACCACGACGAACATGACGCTGTTTTGGGTCAGATTTAACTTCAGCAGCATAAAAGTTCAGCAACCACCAACTGTGCAAAACCGTTGACTTGAGTTAATATAGCGCTAGAAAGTACTAGAAATAGGTTTACAGTCCACTTATAGGTAGACTATCAACAATAACACTACTTGTCATGTCAGTGCCCCACTACAATACTGCGCGATTATGATGGAAATAGCTTTTACTGTTGCAACCAGTCGAGTTGTTGCTCATTTTAGATTCTTTAGTTAGTGCCATCTAGTTTGAATAGATATATATTCTTTAGTTAGTGCCATCTAGTTTGATGTAAGAATGCAGTAAGTAATGCAGTAAGAAGTGCAATGTATTGTAAAGCAGATGTGTAAGACAGAGCAAATGGAAATATTCAAACATTAAGTTTACCAAACAAATTGCCCTCATGAAGAGCTGTGTAAATATGAATGTACAGTAGTTGAACTGCTTGCAAACTACAGCAACTACTAGTTTATTTACATCTCAATCACTACTGCCTAACATTGTACTGGAGTGTTCTTAGTAACATTACACCATTACCCACACTGCATTTCAAAAGGCTAATTAGGCTGCTGTTACAGACACTTGAGCTCTTATTTGATTTGGATTGTTTGCCATCATAGGCCTATTTATTCACAAACTAACAGCTTTTAGGAATCTTATGCTAGAATAGGTTTCATTGCTTTCATGGCTCTCAGCAGTACACTTTCATTCTCTGGTAGGGATGTAAACCCCACCAGTTTGTCCAGGGATTCCCCATAAAGTTTTCATGGGGGGTTTCCCACTAGGCAAAGCTGCTGCTCCTCTTGTGTTGTGCTATAAGCAAACAAGCAGTTGTTTATGTAAATGTCCTGACCACTTAACAAATCACGATCACGTGAGTTCTTTGGAGCCCTTTTGTTTGCTGAAACACAATAAACCACAAGCTCTTAATTTCTCCTGATGCTGTCCTTGGTGGAAATTCCAGTGAATAGCTTTTAAATATCTTCTCTGTGAATACTAAAAGTGGCTCATGTTAGCATAACAACTTGTGGAATATTAGCACAATCATACCTCTGAGCAGTGTGAATTTTCCCCACATTCGACCTGTCATATTGTTCTCTTATTATATTAAGTAAAACCCATTCTGAGCTACTCAGTGTGTACTCAGGATGGGATGTCTTTGTCTACACATAAAATGTGATTCTTTTAATTGTGCAAATAATAGTATTGTTACCCTGGGTTTCCCTTTGAGCAAGCACTTGGTGACAGTGGAGAGGAAAATGGAAGAAACCTCCAACAGACCCGAGCTTTTGGGGGGTGGCCTTCTGCCTCGACCAAGGAGGAGATTAGCTCAGAGCATCATGGGGCCCCCCAGCAGCCTAGGCCTATAGCAGCATAACTAAGGGAAGGCTCAGGGTCACCTGATCCAGCCCTAACTATAAGCTTTATCAAAAAGGAACGTCTTAAGTCTAATCTTAAGGTAGAGAGGGTGTCCGCCTCCCGAACTGAGACTGGGAGTTGGTTCCATAGGAGAGAAGCTTGATAGCTAAAGGCTCTGCCTCCCATTCTGCTTCTGTGGACTCTAGGAACCACAAGTAAACCTGAGAGCAAAGTGCTTTGTTGTGATGAAGCTCTATGAGGTCTTTAAGATACGATGGAGCCTTGTAATTAAGGGCTTTGTATGTTAGGAAAAGGATTTTAAATTCTATTCTGAATTTCACAGGGAGCCAGTGGAGAGAAGCTAATATGGGAGAGATATGATCTCTCTTGCTAGTTCCTGTCAGTACTCTGGCTGCAGCATTTTGGATTAACTGGAGGCTTTTTAGGGAATTATTGGGACATCCTGATAGTAAAGAGTTACAGTAGTCCAGCCTGGAAGTAACAAATGCATGGACCAGTTTTTCAGCATCACTTTGAGACAGGATGCTCCTGATTTTTGCGATAATGTGCAGGTGAAAGAAGGCAGATCTAGAGACTTGGTTTATGTGTGATTTAAAGGACATATCCTGGTCAAAGATGACTCCAAGGTTCCTCACAGTAGTACTGGAGGCCAGAGCTATGTCATCTAAAGTAACTACAGTATATGGTTGTATGGTATGCTTTTATGAGATTCATCAGCTCTAATATGGACACGTTGATTAGGGGTAAGATGTCTTTGAGCAGCCTGGTTGGGATGTGGTCTAAGAGACATGTGGTGATTTAGATGAAGCAACTCATCTACATGAATGTTAAAGTCACCCACTATGATTATGTTACCTGTACTAAGTATTAAATCAGACAGAAAGTCTGAGAATTCAGTTAAAACTCTGAATAAAAAGCATGTGGACGGTATACAATAACAAACAGAACTGTCTGGGGTCTAAGGTTGATTAATAGGCTTGAGTCAAAGATCGCTGCCACGCCACCACCTCGGCCTGTGTTTCGAGGGATGTGACAGTTACTGTGACCAGGTGGAGTGGATTCATTTAGGCTGACATATTCTTCCTGCTGTAACCATGTTTCAGTAAGACACAATAAGTCAATGTGATGTTCACTTATCAAATCATTCACTAACAGAGATTTAGATGAGAGAGATCTGATATTTAATAGTCCACATTTGATTGTCTTACTACTTTCTACTATAAGAGTCATCATCTTAATTTTAATTAGGTTCTTATGAATAACTCCTCTTGAATTGATCTGTGATTTATATAAGGTAGCCTATTTTTAATGATAATGATAATAATAATAATAATAATAATGTAGTCAGGACCTGAATATTTTCTTAAACTTCTAAACGTAGGCCTAGAGTTCTTCTTTGTGTGCTACTTCCTTTTTTATACTAACACTGCCTTACTGTAACTTGCTCTTGAAACAATGTGAAACCCGCTTCCTGGGACTGGGGAGGAGGTGGTGATAGAGGAGTGGTTAAAGAACTAGTAGGGAATATCCAAAGTGCTAAAATTAGCAACTAGCAACTTGCTTGAGGTTCTTGAAAATGAGGTTAGGTTTGTTCAGAGGTGAAGACGCTACTTGGATGAGAAATGAAACATTTTCAAGACCCTCAAGCAAGTCCAGAATTAGATCAATTAAACAAATTAAACAAAATTAGATAACAAATTAAAATCCAGGTTCAGTCTGTCAACTTCTCATTAAAAGTTCTGAGGAGTTTCTGCTGAATTTCTCTCCATTAGTGAAGCAGGAAACTATGCTGTTGTTGGTGATAATCTAACATCTGTGGGTGGAGGCCTTTGGTGAAATGTGATGGTATCTTTTTTACCATTTAAATAAGCTGGGTTGTGACACTATGCACTAAAAACATCTCTGGTCCAGCCAAAGCCATGCAACCATCTGCTGTCACTGATAATCAGCCCTATTTCCCTGTCCTTCAGTTTATAGACAGGCCACTGACACACATCCAAACTGTGCACGGGAGCAAACGGGACATCAGCTGTTACAACATCAATTCTGGCTCATGTTTTTGGTAAGGCCTGCTCTTGTCATTGTCTTATATTCTGTGTCTTATATCTCATTTGTTTTAAGTTTCAGACAGGGACAGTGCTGCTTGACCTTGACTGTGGATGAGCCAGACTTGCCCTACGTAATACATATGCACAAAATAGTATAGTACACACAGAGAACACATACATCAATAAACAGCGCCGGAGTGTAACCATGGTAGCACAATCCAATGCTGCACATGTATGGACTGAAATGACAGGACTGATGAAGACAAGCCAGACAAAGAGAGAGAGAGAGACAGTCCTAATGCTGACATGTTTCATGGATGAACCACAGCTTTAACTGGCCACTAAAAATAACAGTGTGTTGTACTTCTCTTGCTTCTCCCGCTGACTGTGACATTCGATCCATCACTTTAATCTAAACTCCCACAAAAAAGAGAAATGTGCACTTAGGCTAAATACCAAAAACTTGTATCATCAGTACAGTCGGATGCATTTTAATGGAGTCATGTTGTTTACATCGATGCTGTCACATAATTCATCCAGATGCTCTTTCTGCTGAGGTGGATCTTTTGTTCTCGTCGGAGCGCTATTCTTTATCCTGTTAATGAATCTTTTGCTTTGAGCAGTGAGACTGTAGTGTAACAACCAAAGACTTTACACATGAAATAATAACATTCATTTGGATTATATTCATTTTTATATTAAATCAAAACATAACAAAGTACACCGTCCTGCATGAGCATGTCGGTGTATTTATGTGGTTTCCATGGCAACAATCTTTTTGGGGTAAGATAACGAGACTGTATCTGTTGTGCAGTTTGTCTGGCAGCTTGAAAACTGCTCTCTGCCTTCGTAGGGCAGCACTGGGATTATAATCAAACCTGCCATGAGAACACCTGTAATAAGAATAAGACAGTACAGTACAATACTGTACAGACAAAATGATGTCATATTTCATGTGGGAAGACAATGCAACTATTAAAAGGAGCTCTGGGCCTCTTAGCATGGGAAGACAATGCAACTATTAAGGGAAAGTCTTTTAAAAAACAAAACTATAAATTGTATCGCTGTGCTGTATTATATTAAAAGGAGCTCTGGGCCTCTTAGCACTCTCTCATGGATAAAAGAGAGGCAGCAGCAGATGAGACCCACTGCCCTGCAGACGATGACATGTAGGTGTGGCTCCACAGCCACTGACTTCTCTACCTGGCAGAAATGTAACCTGAGCTGAAAGAGGGCGGTGGCAGAAGGAGTGACAGAAATCACAACTATTTCCCTTTTCACCTGTCAGATCTTGCATGTAACAGACAAAACAGAGCAAAAATCATTTATATAAGTTGCATAGATTTAGCAATTGTATGGATTTTTGTGTATAATCCAAAGCATTATGATGTCAACTCTGGGGTCAAAGAAGAAAGACAATCCATCCAGGACAGAGAAACCCACTGAGAACCTGCCACAGGTAAGATTTCAGCATCAACAACAAGTGTCAGACTCCAATTCACTCTTTATGAGAGCATAAAATCAATG